CTTTACAGCTCATTACTTACAAACAACCTCAAACACTTTTCTCCTCCTGGACCAACTTACTGGCCATCACATTCAAACAGAGTTCCTGATATTCTTGATTTTTTTATTCATACTCTTCCTAATCACATCAATTATAATTTAACCAATTTATCAGACCTCTCGTCGGATCATACACCCCTCTTGTTAACACTAAACATTCAACATGTCTCCCTAAAAACATTTCCTACACTCACTCCAGGTAAAACAAACTGGAATAAATTCTCCCACATAGTAGAAAAAAACATATCTCTGAATATTCCTCTAAAATCTCCCTCCGACATTGACTCTGCCGTCCTAGCCCTCACTAATGTTATAAAAAATGTAGAAGTCAAAAAAAAAAAAAAAATGTCATATTTACTTTTCCGAATTTGTTTATAAAATCTTAGTATTTTATCAATATTTTAATTTTTAATGAAATTCAATTTTATAAGTTAAAAGCAGTACCGCGATAAAAAGGAAATTTTTTATAGCCGTTAGTTTTTGGCTCTAAATATTTTAAAACCAAATTTAAACCCAGTAATGATTATGGCTGATTTGGAAAAAAGTAATATGAACGCAGCATCATTTGTATACCCAAATTTTAAAATTCAAGGTTGTTTTTTCATCTTGGACAGTCAATATGGCGCCAAATTCAAAGTATAGGTTTAAGTAGTGATACTCTACTGATCTAGAATTTTCTCTGGATATACTGGCATTAGCATATTTACCCGAAAATCTTATTGAATATAGTTTTGAACGCCTTTTGGAAACAAAATTTCATAAAAATAATGAAGAATTACTAACAGATTTTATTAATTATTTTGAAGATACCTATATAGACCGTGTTAATAGAAGAGGACGCCCCCACGATTTACTATTGCACTATGGAATCATTATTCTTTAGTCAAAAAAGATATTCCAAGTACAAATAATGCAGTGGAAGGCTGACACAATTGTTTCAATGCACTACTAAATCACCCATCCATCTGGATTTTCATTAATACATTGAAAAAAGAAAATAATATAAATCAATTTAAAGTTGAACAATTTCTTTCTAGTATATCGTTACCCAAAAAGAAAAAATACATGATTCGGCGATTCAAATTAAAAAAATTGTTTCGGCTTTTATTCCAAATTCAACCAATCTTCAAAATTATTTAAGAAGAATAGCTGTTAATTTTCAATTATAAATATAGCTTTTTATTTTATTATTATAACTATTTTTAATTTTTAAATATAATGTGAATAGATATTTTAATAAATTGTACTTGTCTTCGAGTTCAGTTTAGTATAATAATATATTATGAGAATTTTCAATTGATTTATTTTTAATATAATTTATAATAATTTTAATAGTTTAAGAATAATTAAATAAGACTACGATAATTTATTTACTGTCCATCGTTACGCGACTATATGACGCGCGTTGATATTACCTAAGCGAAAAATTTCCGCGACCATTTTAACACGCTCAAATTACCGCAACTAACTTACGCGACACCGTTCAGTTTATGACAACAGAACAGGTGTGTGGAGAAGAAAATTTAATCGGAGACTACAGGATTAGTTGGGACTGGCACCAGTTAGTAGCTTCAAAAATGGTCAGCGAATATAGTGGTTTTGTCACGTGATGCATATAAATGAGGAAGATACGGTTAGGGTGGTGTTGGAATGGATGTCTACAGGGAAGAGGACACGCGGACGGCCTAGAAAGAGATGGTTGAATAATGTGGAAGAAGTAGTGCAAGAGTAGGAGTAGGAGAGTGGAGAACAATAGTTCATAACAGGGAGGAACGGAGGCAGATCGTGATGGCGGAAAAAACTCTTCAAGAGTAATTAATGCCAGCAGAAGAAGAAGAAAAAGCAACTATCAACAGGACCTAAACGCGCGCGCGAACATCCTGTTGCGACAGCTCGTCGCGGCCGCTGGCGGACATTTTTATTTTAACGGCGCGCGCGTCGCGCGAGGAATAAAACATCAGGTCCGCGATCGCGTTCGTCGGCGATAGTGTCGTTTGCCAGCATGTACACCCGGGGATGGCAACCGTCGGCGTTGCCCAACGTTCCGGCGCGGCCGTACGTGTGCATGAGGGCCAATTGAAACGGACGCAAGACGAATTTTCAAACGGTGCACGCAGGGCCGTACTTCCCAGTAAACACTGTAAGCTAGTGCTTAGGGCGGCAATTTCTCAAGGACGGTAAATAATTTTCAGTATTACATTTTTATTATGTACGTAACTAGAACTGAAAGAAATGCAACTGATTATAAAATATTTATTTCAAATTATATTTTAATTATTATTAATAATTAACATATTAACCCATGTTTTTTATGGGTACTAGGCAATAACTATTTAGTTTCGAATATAATTCAAAAACGAACTCTTTAAGCATTTTTTACTACCATGCTTTTTATTGTTATATTTTATATCAATGATATAAATAATATATAGAATATATAATATATACAATGATGTATAATATCATATTTTTATAATTAAGTTTTCCATACGAATGTATGTATGCATTTTGTAACAGCTGTATATTTTTAATTTGAAATGTTAAAATATTAAGTAATCAAGGAAACAACTACAATTGTACGTTATAATAACATTTTTAGACTAGAAAAATATTTATATTATAAGACGGCAATTTGTGTTTAAAGCGGCACAATGGATGCACGTGGATCGAATGACGTCCCCTGTGTGGATGGGATTGCGCGAGCAACGCCAAAGGCAGTCTCGGAACGCTGGACGGACGGGGTCGCGCGGCCGATGTTCGTGGTCGACGATGGTCGAGAGGCGGTAAAAGCTCGATGCACTAGAACTTAAATCCTTTTCGATACGCGTAGAGATGCAATTACTTTCTTTTTTTTTTTTTTTTTTTACATTATTTTTCTATGCGTTATCACATGTGAATCTACTTACACGCTTACTTGTACGCCCTTATTTATTTTTACCTATATAATGATAAGTAAGACGTGATATAACATATTAGTCAACATTTAATTTTAAATCAACATCGGTGTGTAACGTTTGTTTCGATTTGTATGTTGTAATGCATTTTTGAAGGGCCCCGTGTTACAAGGGCCTTGTGTCTTACAGGACAGTAGGCAGTGGCCAGTCCACCCCTGATCGAAGTATTATGAAAAATGTCGGCTACCACGAATCAAGTGGATCGCAAACGACATTAGTTTCCCGTCAAAACGACCATGGCAAAGATATCGCTGCTACGTTCAGTGATCTCGAACGGAAACATTGAATGAATAAAAATAAAAAAATAGTATCCGTTTTCGAACTAGCAATGATATTTAACGAATATGAAAGTTTTGGGAATGTTCGAAAATGTTAGTAGCAATTAGTAGATTAACGATTTGATATACGACTGCGAACAATATTGTTTAGTTTCGAACGTGTAAAAATCGACGTTATTTTTCCGATAAAACGATATGTATGAATTACACATCGGTATGGAGTTGGACTGCACTTGCACGCAACTGATAATTTACCACAACTGCGTCTGTACACGAAAATCCAAATGGGTTAATACGATCGCCTTAAGGACACGAACATTGAGCGGCTGTGACCGCGGTAGAAGTACGACAGTTTTCCGTACGAGGGGCGTTGTCGGTCGATGTACGCTGACCGATCCACTCGATTATTACACTCGTATTCAGATGGCGCGTGGCGATATACTCGGAGAGCAAAATAATATCTTATGCACGGTGACGCAATAATTGGATCAAATGCGTGCGCGTGTTAGGTACAACTTTTTAATAAACATTCGCGTTAAGCAACGGGATTTTATAGCACGCGTGGAAGAAGAAAGGAGGGAAAAGGTTCGTGTGCAACGCGCATTACAAATGCATTATGTGCGGTGGTTGTATGTAATGCGATTGGAGAGGAAAAAAATAAAAATAAAAACGATACAGTACGCGGGGGCCCCGGACCTTCGAATACGGTAAAAGTAGGTACGTGCGCGCGGGAGAGGGAGAAAAAAAAATCCAAGTGCCGGACCGGATTGAAATCGGACTCGCGTACGCTGCACCGCCCGTATGGTTGTCGCGACGCAAAGGCGGACCGGAAACGGAACGGGTCGACGGAGATTCGATAATCCAGCGGCTCGTCCGATCGTTTTCAATACACACGCCCGTAATAACAACGTGTAGTCAACCTTGATACCGTACGATTTTCGAAAACCGAATCGACAGTTTCACTTGCATCTGCGCACCAACTTCTGGTGGATCCGACCCGGCCTCGGGCAACGTTCTATACAACGCAACTGGTCAACTTTAACGGCCGTCAGACAATGCATCGCGATTCGTATTATTTTCCTGTCAGGACTTTTATTCTAAGGACGACCCCGAACACACTATGAAGTTTGTTTGGTCAGATTGGGTTTGTAAATCGCGCAAATTTCAAATATCCAGTAGGAACTCGACCGTTGTACAAGGAAAACGATGTTATTGTTAAGGCGCCCGTATCCCTAAAAGTCAACCGCCCTCTCGATTTCTCCTACCGCCCGATTCGGGTCGTGCTGCCCGTTAGAATAACACCTGTTTCCTACCGTTCCGACGCTTCTCCTGGCACACGGTCGGAGGACAACAATCGTCAACCCCCTCCCGGCAACCGGATGAATCTTCCCGACACGCCGGTCCGCCTCGGTCGCGATGCGCGCGCGTGCACGCACTTACGCCCACCCGGGCACACGTCTGACCTACGCACCGCGTTCGCCCCCCCCCCCACCCCACCCCGGGGAGGGAGGGGGCAGCCACGCCGCACACCGGCCGGCGCGCAACAACATTCGGCGTTCCCCATCGCGCCCCTCCTTTCGCCCGTCGGCCGCCGGCCCGAGAGACGCTACTTTCACCGCCGCGGCGACGCACCGTAATATCCGTCCACGCGCGACGGTCAGTTTCCCCCACCCGGGCGCCACCGACCCTTCTACGCGCGTTGCCGCCGACGCCGCCGACGGATAACCGCGCCGCGGCGATTTTAAACACGCACACCGAGAACCAGGCGGATACTGTACGCGCTTAAGTCATCGCCGGCGCTCGTTGTTGAAATGTGCTAGTGCGTGTGCGCGGTGTACCGTACAGACGTTGATAACATCTCGACCGCACACGACCGAAAGCCGCGTTTCCGTGCTCGGCACACCGTCACCAGAGAAGTAAGTAAAATCGGATTAGCATTTTTTTTTTTTCCCCCCGTTTACCGCTTGTCGCGGCGGTACATCGTCTCCGTTCCCGTCGGTGTTCCGCGGCGAACCGTATTTTCGTAGACGTATTTTTTTTTTTGTTTCTCACCCCGTTCGTCGTTCCACGCATCCGATCGGTTTTTGTTCGTTTTTTTTTTTTTTTTTCTACCCGTTATCCCACGCGTTGTTCTGCCGGTGGTGACGAACAAGATTTAAGTTTTTTTAAAAGAACAAACTCCGCCGCGAAGATTTCGGTGCACGGTAGTTTCTTGGCGACGATCAACAGGCGCACTACCTGTTATATTATTACGAATCGTTTTGGATTGCGAACGAATTGTCCGGACAAATTGACGCATTCATTTCGGAACTCGTTCACTAGGTATTATTAATCTCGTGATAAAACGTTCACATCAAAAGCACATCATTTTCGTACACGATTTCAAACAAACCTACTTTTTAGCACTGTTTACTGTTAAAGTCGACTTTCCTGTTTATTTTCGATTACATAAAAGCTACATAGTTATTATGCAAAGCAATTTACCGGGCAAAATTTTTTTTTTTTTTACGAACATTTAGGTATATATAAATTACAACCTTATAACTCGTTTAATGCGTTACAGCCGTATAGTGATTCATTAATGTATGTTATATAAGCATGTATACCTGTATAAATCATTGTAATGTAATTATTGAAATGCGGGTAATAAATTAATTGATATCATCAATAGCCCCATTATATAGGGCTTACGTCTTTAAACGAAAACTATTACTGTTCGTAGTACACGGTGATTTACTTAAACGATTTATTTGAAATTTCAATTGCCAACACAACACTATACTATACTGCAATTCAATCAATTGTTAGTTATATTACCAATGCTTGATTGTAGGTTATAAACAGTTTTCACCGATTTGCCATAACCGTAAGAAATTTTTTTTTTTTACTCAATCATATTTCGATACGTTTATAATGTCTGTAGGCAATGATTCTTCAAACATTTGATTTGTAAATAATTTGCTAATATATCTATGTAAATAAACTTATCATTACAGACATTGTTTAAATACTTCAAATTCATATTTATTCTTATAAAATTACAAATGCGAAACCGTTATAATATTTATACGATCTATTGAATTTTAAATTGTTCAGTCCGTTCGTTTCGTGAATTTTTTCGTATTATTTTTATTACACAAGGTATTCAGAATTTTACTCTTTGCGTTCGGATGTTGTACAACACCGTTTTCCAAACGGATATGACGATAAATTAATTTCAAGTTCACGACATTGAACGGAAACCTACTGTTCGATAATTACTAATTTAGAATAGTAGGTCCATACGTGCGCGCATTACACACAAACATCATCGTTCGTATACGATTTAAATGCCTCCCGAATTCAGGTATTATTCAAGGGCGTTTCTCAAGGCGTCCGTGAGTGTTTCCCATGGTTGTTCAAAGATTTTCGGACGGACGCGTGTTGTGCGTACGCTAACGTGCGCGCGTGAACGAAAGACGCCTGCGAGCGGATACAGCGGATATAGCTTACGTCACGGACCTATTAATCTAAGGCGAACGAACGTAATGTGTTTAATATTAAAAATATTATTACCGTTTCCTATCGTTTGTGTATTGGCGTCGGGGCCCCACCGGGAAAGAGGAAATCGAACGGTATCGGGTGCCCGCCGAAAGGGAAAGCAAAACGATCTGGTAGCCGCTCGGCTAGCGCGTACGAGTGAAGCACGGTGCTAACGACGCGAATAAGTAATCCAACCGAGTAATATACTCGTAGTTTTTTACGTAACACCAATATTATTATGCATTATCAGACGCTGATAGTATTGCACGTACGCGCACGTACGCGTAACACTGCAACACGGCCGAACGTGTTTTAACCAACTCACGCGCGTTTCGTACGTGAGGTGTGCACGTGCAACGTCAAAGCAGTAGATACACGCTCATGTTACTTTTTTATGGTATAATTTTGACGAAAAGTTGAGCTTTTCTTTGTTTTCACCCCATATCATCACGGTACCATCATTATCGTGTTGACGTGCCTGTACGACTGGACAAAACCGAGCGCGGAAAGACGAATTAACGGGCTACAAGAGTACCCGTCCGTCCGTGTTGGTTTGCTCTAGGTACGTCTTTACACGCAAATCGCTCGTCGATTATTGCAAACAAATATAACAACGATGAAGTTATGATAGTCCGTTTTTGTTCGTCGTGCATTACATATACTAACAATACTAATTAAGCAATAATAACGTGTCTAATATCCATTGAACGGTGCACGTTTACCAAGATAAAGATAATCCATTACTGAACCGTTGACCGTCGGTTTCTTGATGAACGCTCGTCAAACATCACTGTTTTAATATTATAATCATCATCATCGTCATTATTATCGTAGTTATTATATAAATTTAACATGACGTACAACACGCGTTATGAACGCAACCAATAAAATATATTATTGTAGGAGCGCATTACGAGTGTGCATGTTAATTCGGTTGTAAATCATTATTGTTTCCACGAGTAACGGATGCGTGATAATTTCTCGTAGGGAAACGCACTCGCCGCGCGTACGGGTTGCCTGGATCCGCAGAATCATTACCGGGCACAACACGGCTTCAGCCGATTGTTATTATTTTTATTATTTTTTTTTTTTTTCCCCCGTCCTCTCGGATAGGCATAGCGAAATAGTAATAATTGTATCGCTTCACTATAAACGTACGAATATCTATTGTTGTAATCGAATCGGTAGTGTTGGCACCGCTCAACTGTGTAGGGTCAGTTTGAGGCACGCGCGTCCGCGAGGAGGACGAGTTACTTAAGGTACACGTTTTAAAACGTGTAAAAAGGAAAGTGTATTGAAACTGAAATGACTGTTATATCATAAACACTGTAGGTCGGTGGCCAGTCTGAACCTTCTCTTATGTGCGCGTTGCATTTTACTTTCTATTGATTATTCGACGTGTGATCATCTAGCCGTTTGATCGTGTACTCTACAAATACGCAGTGACGTCGTCGAGTCTTATTTGACGATCTGAATGTAATTCAGTTAGTTCAGTTTTTTTTTTTCTTATTTTTTTCATTGACTTTGCGTGTTCGGTTTGTCGACCGTATCTGTTTTACTGATCGGTGATGCGTTGCAGATTCCTGAACGGTTAAACTTACGGATTGATTGTCAGTATAATAGGTAATATATTATACATCGAGCGCAGGACTTACTAAACTATAGGATATACCAGCACAATATAATGGAACGGGTGCTAATAATAATACAAACACCGCACTGTATGAAGTAGTATAGGTGTGTACACTATGATGAGATGGAGCCGCATACGCATACAGTGCTACAAAAAAATATACTCGAATTAAAAATACTAACACGCGCGGAAATAACGTTTTAAGATTTTTCCCCGTTCACCATCGATAATATGCGCGTACATGTCGTATTTTCCGACTAGATCGTTTTAAACCGCGCACGTTTTCCACGGCTCAAGCCCATTTCGTTTTCAAACATTGTACTTGGCAACGATGACCAACAAATCAAAGTTGGAACGTAATGTGGGTATACGTGACCGGACAAAAAGAAGAAATGATTTTTTTTTCCGCTCTAGATATCACCATGTTGAAAGTTTTCATCGTTCGAATAATGAAATATTTACGTTACAAACCGTGAGTAAAATATATTCACGTCCAAGCGTTCCGACAATCCGATTATTTCAAAGCAAACGTAAAAATATCAGTTTTATAACGACTAACACGATTTCTTAACAATGCATACACAATTATTTAAATAGAATCGCCGTGCATGTTCGTATGGAATTGTGCAATCGCGTGCTAGGATGCGTAACTAGATTTGAATCTTTTTGTACGTTGTAACACAAATTGTTTTTACGAAAATCGCCGGTACCTATCGCCGTCGCACGTGGTCGCTGTGCTCTTACGAAAATTACATTCCATTAACGAAACAGCTTCCGTTCCGACGACACTTGCACCCTATACGGTTATTCATTACACAAGAACTTTCCGGACTGGAGGCAGTCATCTCCGACCTACCGTTAGGGATTCAATCGCTCGAATTCGATTGGGTTTAATATCACGCGCACAACCGTGCATCGAGTTTAGCAACGGGATGCAGAGCGCGTAGTTCGATAGATAGGTACGTGTCGGGTTTCCGCGACGAACGTTTCAAACGTTAGGTTAACGATACAGTTTAAAACGAAAATCCAAAATCATCGTCCGAGTCGAAACTTTCAGGTCAGCGCCGACGCAGTAAGTGCGGCCGCACAAGGCCTCGCGATTTTTCATCGATATCAATTATAATGCGGAATAATAATGACTATGTTCATTTCACCAGTCTGATTACGTATTACGTAAACGGTATTTTTTTCGTTTTTAGTTGTCTCAGGTGAGGGGGCCTCGATTTTATCAATTACCCAGGACCTCGGAAATCATAGTGCCGGCGCTGCGTCCGGTAGAGGTTTTCCACGACGGTAATCCGTAAACATTTCATCGGTTCGATCTATGCACCACATCAGTCAGCGCCCAACAGGCGATTTGGTACGCGACTGACTGAATGCAAAGTAATGTTTTTACGCGGCGACGACTAAAATTTCTATCAGATTCAAGACGACCGTCTTAACACGCGTCGTCGAGTTAGCATGTTGCGGGGGTAGATTTCGCGACCAAGCAGATTTTTTCAGTCGCGTCATCCCAAACACCGTACCAACGACGAGCAATCAACGCGCTGGGTCGTTTCGATTTTACATTATTGTTTTACTGCTCCGTTACACACGTGTTACGTCAAAGGCGTCCACAAAAATCTCCAAACCCGACGGATCGAATTTTTCATTCCATCTAACCATCCGGCGGCCGATACCACGCTATACCACGCGTCATCGTCCACTCGAAAAAGCGTGATTATAAAAAAATCGTAATAAAATTCAAAAAATATACATTATTGAACGCACGTGATTATGAAAACGAACGACATCCGATGCTTCCACGTTTCCCGGTTAGGTTAGTTCGGTGCCAGCCTCGAGCCCTGAGAGGTCAGCGTGGAAACCGACGATGAATCAACGTAAACCGTATAATCCGTTTAATCGATGAACGTTATAAAGAAACTACGTTTATACGAATGAGTTAAAAATTAATCAATGTCGCATGAACAATCCTATAGTTTTTTTCGTAACATAGTTATGATTCGTCAAATCAATATTCAATACATTTTGATTGGTAAAACGTTTCCGATTATTTATGAATTTGATAGCAATGCCATGAGGAAAATCTAAGACCTGTATTTGAGATCCCTATAAAAGGCAAAAACATCAGCCTTGAGGTCTCTACAAGCAAAAATACATTTCAATATTCTTTGATTTCATTTGTCATATGTTTGCCATCGGTAAATTCCATTTGATATTAAACGTCTTCTGTAAAACATTTCAGTAATAACCGGCACAAATAACAATCAATTACGTTATTTTTTTTCTCTTTTTCTGCGGTTTTTTCCATTTACATACTTCATTACAGTAACATTTATTCTTGCCGACCTCTGTTCCGTCGTAGTCGTGTCTCGGCCGAATCTCCGATGCGCGTGATACCTGCGCGGCTAAATACTGTGTTATCGTTAAACGCCGTTGACTCACATCAGGACGGCGCGTGTCACTTCTACACGTCGTTCGCGGTAGCCACGGGTAGGCAAGCCGCGTCCAGATACCTATGCGTATACCGACGGGCGTTTTTTTTTTTTTTTGTAGATTGTGCGCGACCTCGTTGCATGCATGTCGTCGTGTACACCGCCCGCGATGAAGCAATAAAATTTCGTAAAACTCTCAGACGGCTTCAAAAACACAGATTTTACCTGTTTCGAGTAGGAAAGAAAAAAATTTAATAACCAAACATACGTACGGGTTAGCAAATAATAAATTATCATAATATATTGTTGTATATTGAAAATTGTGCGTCGACGGGGAAAAAAATAATACGTTCTGGGTCACGCGCGTGTGCGTGTGCGTGCAACTTTATATGGTTTTTTTTTTTTATCGATCAAAACCAGATCTTTGGAATTGAACTAATCGACAATCTGCCGCCGTGGCGTAATAATTATAACAACAACTTAAGGTTTTATCGGACGTCTACAAACAGGAATAATACTTTCACTTTTCCGATATTTTTAACAAGTGCATATTAGTGCACTGCCCACTGTGAATTGTTTTCCGACTCACCAATATCGGAATGTATCTGATACGTTATATGCTATATACTCCATAAATTCTGTTTGATATTATACCACTATACACAACCTACTGATGTGTGATAAGCGAATACACAGTAAATTATTGTAAACAAGTTTCAAATACGGAAAAAAGTTCCATCACGTTACACAACAATTGCATACCTAGTGATAATAATGTACACGATAATTAACTTTTAATTTTATTTTATCTACGACCTTTGCGTGATTTGAATTTTAAAATGAAATTTTTATCGATAACAATTACCAAATGGAGCGATACGCTTCCTGCGTCTTGCGTGGCGCGCATAGCAAAATTGTTGTTGTAATATTATAATAATTTTATGTGATAATATTTTGAAGTTTTAACATTTATTTTGAAATAGTATTGCCGGAGTTTGTAATCTCTCTCTCTCTCTCTCTTTCTCTATCTCACTATCTCTCTTTTGTCGGGGTTTATAAACACGAAATCAAGATTTAACTTTACGACAAGTGACTTTTCGACTCACGGTCAACAATGTAATAATGATTTTTTTTAAGAGATTACTTTCACGTAAAATCTCTTCATTATTATTTGCGCTAACTTTTTTGTTTCTTCTTTAACGACAAAAATCCTTGGTTATATAATAGCATTTATGTGCCTCGAAATATTTATCACGAAATCCAAAGCTCTTGCAATGCAACATAAAATTAAAATATGTAATAAAACGTCAAAATGAATTCGAGTGACAAAAATATTATGCTCTTGCTTATTGGGGGGACGTTTGCTGAATAATAATTTATTATAATAATATTTCATATTTCCTGTGTATTATACTAATCGTGCTTGTAATTTGTTCTTTTTCAGACCGGTATTCAAAATGATGTTTAAATACATGTGTTTGGTTTTGTTCATAACGTGGTATCAATTGGCCGACTGTCATCCTGCAAATTCGGATGCAAAGCTAATAGATTCCATGATTGAAAAGGTAAGTTTTGATGATAAAACTTGCGTGCGTTAAAAATTTCTGCACCATATCACTCATACAATCCGCACACGAAAATGTGTAACTACTTGTCTATTATACATACATTTGTCGTTTTCGAGTTAACTGCAAGATACACCGTACACCATAATAATGAGTATATAATATTTTGGCACCACTAACCGGGGACGTATAATGGAATCCTAAATAGTATTCAATACGAACATTTATCGGCCCCGCTACGAGGACAAACAGACGTATGAGTCCGACGGATTACCGCACAACCCAAGGCAATCTAGGAATTACATTTTTCGAAACCTATTTAAGCTGCTACTTTCATTATTATCTCATTCACAACGTATAATAATAATAATGGTCATAAAGCATTATTGGTGTACTTAGAATAATACAATGTAATAGTTTGTGTTTTAATTATTATCATGACAGTTACAGGTACGTACCTATTAACTGGTGAAATATTATCATTATTATTATTATTACTATTATTTCTCGCGCGGTGCCACCGAATCTCAATGACAACGCGATAATATAACAATGTGTGTTCAGTGTTGTTTCATAACGATCAACGTTTTTTTTTTTTTTTTTTATAATGTATAAATAAAATTATTAAAAAAAATCTCATTCCGGCTCCCGACCGCTGTTTTACACATAAATAGTTGGTATCTACCTGTGACCTATACACTCGACGACATTTAAATTTAACAAAATATAAGCAGATAATATTTACACCGCGAAATGAATGTACTCGCGAACCAGTATTATTTAACAAATATTGCTAGAAAGAACTGCTATTTCTGCGCAAACCGTAAAAACCGGATTTATGAAATGTGTACTTATGAAGTAACTTCTGAAGTTAATGATACGTAAGTGTATGTTAAGTTGTAATCACCTAGAGGCATTTATTATAAAGTCACGATCGGTTTAAGCTATTTAAAACCGGTCATTATCTACAAAAAAAAATATTATATATATATATATATATATATCGAATACTACAATTACTTTATAGTAATGGTTATTCATTTATTAACGTTTTAATGTTGAACAAATTTTTCTTTTTGAATAATATACCCAAAACAGTAAGTACTACAAGTACATTAACCAAATAAAAAAAATAAAAAGTCGTTACTTCTTCTTACTTAACTATACATTATCAATAACCATCGTATTATTAATAATTTTAACTATTTTTCTATTGATTGACAATTAAAGTCATTTATATAATACAACACATTATTTTTCATTAATATTAATAGTTGCGCTAGAGAATTGCAAATTTTATGATACCCGTTAATTACAGTTGTAGGTATTTGCACACAACGCTGATTTTAAATTTTTAGCGTGTAAAAAAATAAAAATTAAAAAGTAAAAACGATGACGTCGTTAAATGCTGTGGTGATGTGCTGATGAAAATTAACTCCTTTATGGTCGTCACTGTTCCGCGATACACAAACAGATGGTCACAATTAAAATGCATTATTTGCAAGTTTGAAGTATTTATTATAACCGTTTTGTTTTTTAACGCACTTAAAAATACCCTTTTCACACGTTACGATTCGCGATTATTGTAACGCGTACCTACATTTGTTTTCCATGAACTGCGATTGATTCATAACCATTATTGTAATACGCACACTAGTAGCATAATGATGATTTTCTTAGCAATCGCAACGGGCCTCCACAAGCACAGCTATCGCAATCTGCATAATAAGTTTCGGTGCAAACCGTCCCAACAGTGAGCGAGAGGGCCGGAAAATAGGGGTAGCTGCTCGGGGCACTATACTCTCACGGGTTTGGATAATCCGTAAGCCTATAATTTTATTTTCAAAAATTAAACGACAATCACCACCTCCCCCCTCCGTCATGTGACCGTCATGTAATCTTTAACTTCAATGTTATGTTTAGTGGGTACACCTGTACCGCATTTCGGACGGTATGATAATGATAAGAACAATAATACATCGTTGACGGTTCGACGATAAGAACGTGATCGAATCGACGCGCGTGGCATTTCCACGGTGATTCGCGTTGCCTTGTGACAAACGAAACACGCCGGTGATTATGAAATCGACGATAATATTAACAACGACGTACGCGTACGGCAGTAATGATATTCGCGGCGCGTGCAAAAGGACTTTTCGCCTCGGCGACAACTGTTATGAAACACACCTGGGTACAGTTGTCACCGGCGGTTTCGCGATGTGTACCCCCGTCACGTCCAAATGAGGTGCCCGTGCACCCGCGATCGCCTTTCCCGCGGGTAAAACGAAAACGCGCCACCGAATTTATTTTATTTTTATACTATTTATAATTATATATTTATTAATCATTATTATTATTATTATTATTATTATTATTATTATTAATAATATTATTATCATTATCGTTTGCACGTATTAGATTACGCGTGTACCGTCCGCTGTAATGGATTACATGTGTTGGAACAATGGACGTGTGCACGCGTTTTATGATTTTTTCACAGTTAAATATAATTGTGTCGTCGTTGTATCCGTTTGAATATTAATGGCGTTGACGGATTTCGTAAACGAATGAACGCGTCGAATCGGGGCACATGACGTTGTCGCGTACAACATTACACATTACGCTGTACGTTTTGCAAATCCAAGTGTTTGAAAAGATCATCGAGTCGCGCGAGCCGACGATCGATAATTATTATTTAACGCGCGCGCCTGCATAAACGAAACCGGGTGAGTGAGAGTTGGTGGCGCGCGGTTAGATCATAGAACAAAAATGCAATACATTCCGTTCGAACGTCACCGTGGTAATGGTATCGAATTTAAAGTTTTACGAGAACCTCAAGGACTGCGCGCGTGTTGTACGTCCCCGGTGCAATTTCAATTCCACTTTCGAATTGTACGCGTTTCCAACGTTACGTGTTCATCTCGGGTTCCGTTGTATTTTTCAACGTCCAGAAACACGTGTCGTGCACGAGGGTAAGAGTACAATGTGTACACTGTACACTTACTAATAACGCAAGAATTGCTCCGGGGTCCACGTTTAAAACCCGTACCAATTACAAACGGACACAATCAAGGTCATAGTAAGCAAAACATTTTTAGGTGTTAGGGGTGGGGATTTAGAGTATATCCCTTATTTTTTTGATTAGAAAATCGTAAGATTTCAAGTGTAGTGGGCATTTAATATAAGTCGATTTTGTTTCAAGAAAAAATTTCGGGGGATCTGAATCCTAAACCTCTCTCCTTGGATTCGGCCTAGAACACAGTGCACATACACTCTGGATAATATCAATGATATCTAACGTCATTTGTCCATCCGTATAATATTATACATTTTGTCAAACTTTTTTATTTTTTTCCCCATTAATTATTCAAGTTTTATCCAATAATACCGACGTAGTATTACGAAACATATTTCGATTTTATTTGTGAAACAAACAACATGTAGACATTCGTTAACGTTATGGTAATTGGTCAATGTGATAATATTGTTATTTTTATGCAAACATGTCGCCAATAAACACACCATAACAATAGTGATAGTGGCATACTTATGCGAATGATTTGTAAGAGCCAATTTTCTTCTCTCGGTTGAGATTCAATTTATGTACACGATATCTTAATATTATAATAAACGTACTTGAATGATAACTGATTTTCAATTCATCACCGGAATACTGATGCGTTTTAAAAAGTATTAAGTTCACTATTAGATAAAAAATATATTACGTTTACGAGCTAAAATGTAAATATTTAAATTTATCGAGTTGAACGGTAGAAAATTTAAATAAAGTTTTTATAATTTTCAATAAATCATTTATAAGATTTAATGTTTGATATTAATCGGACTACGCTTGTGGTCCGTACACGCTTTCAATTGTACGTAACATAATTTCAATAGGATTTTGAATTGTTATTATCAATTCACCATAATGATGATTCTAATAAATTCGTATAAACGCGCAAATATAAGATATAGGCTCATCGCTGTAAGAGGTTGTCGAAAAATTCAAATCGTTGTAAGGCCTTAAACTTTCGGACTATTTTTCGGTTGGAGTAACATTTATGGTTTATAAAATCCATTACGTTTAACGACAATGTATCTCGAGACGAAAGCAGCGCATCAAATTCGGAACAGCAAAAATACGACCACCTTACCGAAATATTAACCAATTAACGGCAGACTACTGTTACTACTAACTGTACGTATTATGTGGGACAACAGTCAACAACCGATCTGAATTAATTGGTGGGCACTCGTGCTACGTACAAATATTACGATAACATTGGTGCCGGTGCGTGATCAAACAAACATTTGAATATTACTGAATATACGAAGATTTCAGTGCCAGCGTTATGAAATTCTGAACGCAACGCGGTTTCATTTTGAAATGCGTAAAAATAATTAATCCATCTTGGCAGTGAGCTGCTGCCTATGCAGCCAACAGCCGTAAACAATATTACTAAATAATTCAGGCACTTTCGTTGCACAGCATTATTCGCTTGGTGGTGATTTCAATATTATTATTCACGCGTACGCGTCCACCGAGAACACGGACCGCGGTTGCGACACCGAACGGTTGACTTACAAAAAACGCCCGCGCATCACATTTTTTTCTTTCAACATTACACTTATACACCACCCCTTTCGTCGTTCCGAACAACGTGCAAACAATAACGACGAGCACGACGCGCTTATCTAAATTAAAATTCGTAAGATAGTGTCAAGCCGGTCCCTCACGGCTCGTAGACTCATTTTTACTCGCCTGGTCGTTCGTCGTTTCGCGTCGGAAAATTAGGTTAGTTAAACACAGTTCGAAGGAATTATAACTATGATCGCGATTATTGACCGGCAAGCGAACAAGTCGTGTAGGAGCGACGCATTTGTCAAACCGAAATGCTGGAAGAACGTATGCGATTACGATGCTCGTCGAGTACATGAGATGCGTGGGACCGACTTAAGAACAGTTGTAAATGTTAACGTCGTTTCGATTTTTATTGATCGAGTCTTGATAATGCGTCCAGGGTGAATAGGCAGTATATTTGATTCGAATCGCCCGACAACATTGATCGATGAATGCGCATTTGCGCGTCATTGTAACTGCAGTGTGCTTACAGCTTTCCGTGCAATAATAATCGCGTTACCGACGAAATAATAACGTACAATAATATCTACTCCTATTCCATGGCTGGGAAAATATTTTTATTTTTATTTTCGTGACATCATCAATAGTCTATGCTGTGTATACGCCATTAATTTTGTTTTGTACATATAAAAAAAAAATTAAAAAAATTATATATCCCATACAGGAATCGGAAGCATTTATAGCAGCTGAAGCGGAACAATCTAGTCATAAGACGATCAGAGATAAAAGAACGATCGGTTTCTTGCGGCAGCTGTTTCCAAATCTATCTCAGGTAAAACAAAACATTGATTAGCTTTTTTTTTTTCATATTTACCTAAACGATATTACTTAACAATTGAGTATAACTATTAAAACAAAACGATAATGTTAACACCCAAAGATTTACGTAATACTGTACGAATAGTATGATAGGTTTTCGGAAAAAACATTGTTCATTCGTGATACTTTCGCCGAGTGCAATCAATATGGTTTTGTGTTGGCGAAAAACGCGTACAGCTGGAATATTACAACCGTGAGGTTTTGACGTAGCCTGTGGACTCTATATACGAGTACTTATACATATATTGGCTCGACGTAAATCGTCGACGCGAATAATTCACCGAGCGTATCGGCTATTCACAATATTATTACTTTAGCGTTCTACGATACTGCATCTGTATGTAAGCAACGGGTGGGTACTACTACTGTGATGCAATTTTGTTACAGAAAATGTAGGTTATTATTAGTGTTTGAAAAAATTAATTAGAGACGTTGTATCTTAAACGAACATGTTATTAATCAAGGTTCGTCGTGACCTACATATATCCGGATTTGAGTTAAAACCATATACCTATGTATATATATATATATATAATGTAAAATAAACTAACTCTATTTTATTTTTCTTTTTACGTAGGTATGCATTATTTAGAATATTATTTAATTTCTTAAAATGTATTATACTGTGGCAAAATGATTCGATATTTAGCATACAAAATCAGACACTTAATTTCTCGATCAATCTTTTTTATTTATTTTTTCTAATTATACTCATGTAAATAGTAATACATGTTTTTGTTATTGAAAAACGTCTAGTGCTAGGAAATTATTATTCATGCTGATTATTGTCGTTTTAAACTATAGTACCCAACAATATATCATTTAATTTCAAATCAAAAAATATAAATTGTTATGGAAAATCTAATAAATAAATAACCTTTCAGTGTTTTTAAAAAATAGTATTTAAGAAAAACGTCCAGCTGATGGGAAATAATTCTAAACACAAAAATTGACTAAGAGAGTTACCGAAATGTTTGCTTGGTAATCGCTCGGTAATTTATCGTCATCCACTAAAAGAAATTGAGGAAAAACATTTTACATTTTATACGAATTATTAAATAATTATTCAAGTGTTTTCAGTGAGGACAACCACATAAAAACCAAACTAGTATGTACACATGTGATTTTAGAACTATTACGACATGACCATAGTATTATAGTTGTTATGTAAATTATACCTTCTCGTACCGAATCTTAATTCACTCAAATGATTCAGACATCGAAACTAATGCAATCTCATGAACCACTTCTTGAATCATCGGTCCAAATAAAACAAAATCATTAAAAATTAGATTGTTGTTGTAGCCCACATTAGTTTTTCATCATGAACAAATAAAAGCAACAATAATATAGTACATATAAATGCAACTTGTATTATAAGTATCTCATTTCATTTAATTATTTATATATTTTAATAACTCTAATAAATTGACAGGTACTACTTTATAATGCCCGCGCAAATAAATCATCGTGCACATGGTAATCGCATATTGTTTATAAATGAATTACATTTTCATATTTACACGTCAATTTTTATATTGTTAGGCATATCCACAACATCCTGAACATATATTAGTGTTTCACTGTATTTTATTGATTTTTCGATTTTGTTGGTGAATTAAAAATAAAATGTCATCGTTAAACGAATTGATCTATGATTTTTAATTAAAACATTAGAAATCTATTTTGTATGACCGATATGAGTAATTTGATACAATACTGAAACGGGGTAATAGCAAAAGCAACAGCAAGGTCGAATAACACGTCATTTTGAAATCTGCTAATAGAACATGTCCAGAAGCCACTAGTGTTTATGTAACTATTTTGGAGGCATTAAAATAATTTGTTATGAAGTTTCTAAACAACAAGCATGACATTACAAAGTTCGATAAATTTTCAATCTTAAATAAAGGCATAAATGATTAGTATGTGTGTATTGAATTTATTACACTTACTGCATACGTATTTTAATGACTAAGTGTGTCTTTAAAAAAAAAATATCTTAGTTGTTTCTTAAACAAATTTGAAATTGAAAATATGCATTACAAAACCAAGCAACTAAAATTTTTATTATGAAAAGTTTCCTTTGATAAATTAGTTTTATTACTTTAATATCAGTAAAACATAATAATAATAATTATTAAATTATTTTAACTTATATTGGAACTCGAAATTTACCTTCACTTAATTTAAATCAAGTTAAAAAATAAATATAGCAGTATTATAATTGTTTACAATAAATATAACGTATTTCAGATTAAATTAAAATGAACCGACAGTGTTGTCGTCACCGATTATCGCAGTTATTTCTTTCAATTTTATTTTTTTACGAAAATATTTTCACGCTGCAATAAAATTATATATCGTAACACTGCATTATCAAAAGTTATACTGTCGAATTTATCAGTTTTATTTTATAAAATTGGCCGAATTCTTTAAATTGATGAACAAATTGTCGAATTCATTACGTATTTGGCGCAACGGCATTAGTGTTAGTCGGTGTATATGGAATTGGAAATTTCTCGAATTCGGCATATAATCATGTGCAAAAGATACAAAAGCGATTTTTTTTATTTTTTGATTTTTAGTTATTTATTCGTTTTAAGAATAGAGAAAAAATTTTTGATCATATATTTTATTGCAAGTGCTTTCGTTTTTTTCATTAAAAAGCTTAGAAAGTAGTAGGTAAAACTATTACCTAATGAAATATTATGTTTCAATGATGAAAAAAATAACAATAAAAGAAAAAATAACAATTTTGAAATATTTTACAATCGTAATACACACGCACATTCAATTAATCAGATGACTTGCGAATCAAAACATAATATATTAAAATACTCGTATATTGCGAATAATGAAATTTACTAAAAAGAATGACACAACGATAGAACGTGGGTTTTTCTTTTGACGAACTAAACAACGGCCATCGGGTGAATTATTATATTATCATTGCCAGACGTAGACGCCACTACGGCGAAAGTGTTCAACAACTGAATTTCATCGTGCTATGATCGGTCACTGAAAAAGCTGATCATATTTTTTCTACAAATCATCCAGCTCGGTCCAACGAAGAATTATAATGATGCATACTCATTGGAACATTAGTATTTATTATTACACGATATTTCATTCACGTGTACGACATAATATTTCAGCTTTACAAGGGGGTTCATAGGTTAGGTTTGGAGGTCATTAACTTCTTTAGCATTATTTTTAGAACTCAAAATAATATAAATTAGATTTTTTAGATGTTATAATAATTTTTGTAATCTCTGTTGCGCCATTGTTTCGACGTGAACTTTTAAATTTTGGTAACCGTCTTGAAATCACTCGTCATTGTTGATCCTTATTCATAAGCATGCAAACGAATATGTGTTCAGTTAGCCCCCATAATGTTGTCAATTGGGCCCAAGAGTTTAACTCTAAGTGCTAAGGGTTCGTATTTTAACTGATGCTGCTCAAATTAAATGTTATTTATTCTAAAACAATTTATAAAAAATAAACGACATTTCGTAATGGAAAAATAAAACAAAATGTTTTAAACGTTGGTGTAAAAACTTATTTTGATAATACAACAACTACAATCGACTACAAAAGTAAAAATCATGTGAATACATGTTTCGATACATTGTAATATTTTTATTTTTTTTAATTGATATTTTTTAATTTAATATACTAAGCCATTAGTATATGTTCATTTGTTGATTACTTTTCTTTTTAAATTAAGTTATACAATTCATATTTTTTTTAGGAATGAAATTAAATTCCTTATATCTTGTGTTCGGTCCTAGAGCTTGACAGATTCGTTCAGAGATGTGGAGTTGATTTCGGAAACGTTAGAATTTTTGGCATTCGGTACATTTTTTTGGAACATTTTTATCAAACAGTCCACTATTAATCGAAGATTATTTTTAACTGTAATAATATTTCGTTGACCGTCCGATAGTAATAATGCAGTGTCAAACCCGCTACGTGTGAAGACTTCAACGGTCGTTAAAATACCGGCGGCGTGCGAGCGAAATCGTGATCATCTCCACACTCGGACACGCGAGAATTATCTGCAGGTCGATCTACAAGTGCGCGCGTGGCACAATATAATAATGATAATGATGATACAACGATAAAATATAATAAACACACGCTTTCGTGAGATGTAGTAATCAATTACCTACGCTAACAATACCGAATTGTCTTCACCCAGTGTCACAGCTGTAGATTTTTTTAAACTAGAAGTAGTGGTTAGTAGTTTACCATTATCATACCGAAGTCGGTATTTGTTTACCCGTGACCTCTGGCAGTGGGTCTCGGTTCGTGCAGTTTAAAAATTGTTTCCGGTACCATTGTGTAATGATCGACGCAATTATGTAATTGATGGGGTTTTTCTATTTTTTTTCTTTTTTTTTATACAATATAATAAGGCACTCGTTACTACGTCGAATATTATTTTCTTGTTATTCGTTTCAGAAACACGTTTTCGTTTTATTCACTTCAGTTAACAATTTACGAATTTCGTATTTTTATCGTTATGTTATATACAACTGGAGTTTTATAATTGACTCGTTTTTGCCAACGACAGAAACAATTGTTAAATCATCATAACTAGAGGAATTAATTATAATTATTTAACGAAATATCATATTTTTCAATAAATATATATTTTTGAAGAACCAGTCAAAGATACGGATATCTGATGTAATACTTGAAACGCTGTTCTGCTGGTTAAAAAATAATAAAAAATTCTGTTACGGCAATAAATAAAATGAACATAACCATAAATATTGTAACTAATAAAAAACAACATTCATTAACGATAATTAATTAATAAATATTATATGGTGATTAATACAATTCATTTAAATTAAATATTTAATTTTGATAATTGGCCGTTCGTTCAAGTCGCAAGAAGGCAATTCATAAATTTTATGTTTTAAACATTATGCAACCTTATAAGGACGAGGGAAAAGAAAATAAACAATTAAAAAAGAACAACTTGGAAAAAAAATCTATTCATGTTATGTAAAATCGTGTAAAAACAAATATTTAAGCCTAGGACACAATTCGACAAAATCATTGTGTTTGCTGTTTAATAACAAAACTTGTTTCCGACACGAATAACAATTTGTAAAAAATAAAAATAATTGTGATGAACGTTTTTCAATGGACGTTTCAATTTTTTATCAAACTCAACAATAATGCACGGTTAATTAATGCCATTCCAATTGTTTTTCATTTACGACCAACGATAACGAATAATCATTTTGAAATAGGAAGAGAGACAAAAAAAACCGTATAAAATTTGAGTAAAATATCGTTACTCGAACGAATCCTCTTTTGTGTTAAAAAAAAAAAAAAAAAAACAATCAGCACGCATACTTAACTTAACCTGTAACCTATGCAAACCTAATATAACCGTATCTTTAATATTAACATTTAATATCGCAACCGCATTATACAGTATGCGTAAGCAATAATTAATCCACGTGATGCGCATTCACATATGTTTTGATTTGACGGCAAAAATCCGTGTACTCAACAGAACCGGTGCAAGGGAGGGGAGAAGGTGTTGAACCGGATACATGCTTTTAAGGGTTCTCGAGTTGAATAGGGTCACGTGAAACAGGACGTAATCTAGTCAAAATTGTTAACCGTTCATTCTCGAAGTAGTCCAACAAATATTGCATTTTAAATACTCTGCACATATTTTTACCATTTCAATTTTTCGTAGCGAACCGTTACGCTATTACACTTTTATCCATCCAATCGTCTTGAAACTAAGACATCGTTAGTCGATAGGCAAATGCATTACTGATTATTAAACGCAATACGATTTGAACAATGGTTGTTACATTTGAACAGTATCTTCATTCCTACGCAATCGTTGTTAGAAAATTATCTAAAAAATAACGACGCGAGGCAGGATCATACTGCTGTGTGCCGATATTTTCGTTTTTCGACGAACACGCATGTTCATGGTCAAAACCTCTCGAGCGCGAAAACCGTCTCGCAAAATCCAGCACCGGCCCAGCGTGGTGTGCCGATAACAGATTGTGCGCGCGGTAACAAACACGAAAGAAAAATAAAAACAACGAACATGACATAAGACTAAGAAAAAAAAATTGCAAAAAAAAAAAAAAAATCATTGTAGTGTACGTTGTGTGTTTGGGGTGTCACCTGTTTTTCTAGATAGTCGACCGAAAGATCCAACAGATCACGCGATTCCTATTCCGCGTGATCGGCCGACTGGTGCTCCGGGGCGGCGCCGGAGGGGGCGCGGGAGGCGGCGCTGTAGCGGGCGGCGGTGGCGGCGGCGGCGGCGGCGGTGACGCCGGCGGCTCCGGTGGCCGGCGGATATCGATCACGTTGCCCACGTTCCCGCCGTCCACCGACGACGAGGACGAGGAGCAGACTGAAGTGCCGGCCGCCGTGCCCGCCGCGGCCACGGAATCACCGGCCGCCGGCACCACGCCGTCGTCGGTCCTAGCGTCCGACACGGTGTCCGCCACCGACTCCGCGCCGGCCGAGTCCGCCGTCGACGTAGTCGCCACCACCAGCGCGGGCATCACCACCAACGCCCCGATGATCACCACCATCACCGCGGCCACCACCACCGCGGCCACTACCAACACCGCCGCCGATAACGCCGTCACCACCATCAGCATCACCACCACCACTACCACCACCACCACCGCCGCCAGCAGCACCAACGCCGACGCCGTCACTCAACCGGTAAATCCCATAATGGACGGACCGTACGAATAATAATACGTGTATAATATTATTGGAATTGGAATGACTTCGTCGCGGTGTGCATGTCGTATATTACACAAGGGTAGATTTTAAGCGATGCGTCCTTCGCATTGCGTGCGAAAAAAAAAAAGGTGGAATTGCGTCCGCGGTTTTTTTTTATTCTGGTACAAGTACCTAAGTTTATAACAACACATAGTAATATTCATTTTTTTTGTATGTGATCGGTTTACCCACCTATTATATTTTATGTCAATAAGTAAATAATACATTATATTTTTTCATTTTTAAACATTTAACATTTTTTTTTGCTTCAAATTTTCACGAAAATCGTTTACTTTCTCATCGTTTGCTTGTATTGCCATCAGATCTTCAAAAATATAGTTATGAATTTCTTTGAGATTCAAAAAAACAAACCAAAAAATCTTATATTTGTTATTATATTGTTATTATTATTACTATTGGTTTTTTCTTATTCGCCTTCCAACTCTATTATATAACTACACACAGATATTTTATTACCAAGCCTAATACGTTATCCATGTATGTAATGTATACACGACCGTGCCTTCTGATTTAATTTTAAATAACTATAAAAGTACAAACCCATATGAATTAAACCTGTCCAGACGTACCGCGCACGCAACTCGGCTATAGTAAAACTTTGAATTTTTTCGCACGCGATTCGGAGCAGCCATTCTAAGGACTCGACGCCGTGCGTCCCACACTGTGGCTCACCCATGTGCATCGACCCGACGAGGCGAAAGGTGGAGTGCGATATTTTCTTACGCCTCGAAACGTATTATTTTCAGTAAAACTCGTATCTCGAGCACGAATTCGGTTTGTATTATTATAACGTAAACACATTACATTAGGGAACTTTAAGTTTCGAAACAGCAAATAATTAAATTTTTACCGAAAACTTTGACACGTGTATTTCAAACGGCAATTCAGCCTTAGCGTCTTAATTATAATAGCCACCGTGACTTTATCAGAACCGTAAAACGCACACTACGCTTGAAATGTGTTAGCTTCGTGGGCCCTAGAATGATGAAAAAGTGGACCGCGGGTCGAAGACCTAGGGTTCGATTGATTTATGGGAACGGGAAAAAAGGATCCGTGGATTTAAAGCGTGAAATAATCCGAGTTCGCGCAAAGATCAGCTGTTTTCGAAAAACGTCGTTCACGCTCTTTCGCCCTTTGAACGTCGATGCATATTGTAATCGTGAGTCGTGTACCGCGAACGTCTGACGTTTCCCGGAACGCTCCTCCTCCACAGGCGTCGCTACCGCAGAAAACCAATATAACACAGTAACCACTATAACAATGCATTAACAACCGAAACACGGTCGAAACCACGTGCCCGCGGCCGCGCATTAGCCTTAGGTACGATCCGTCAACGGATCCGGTACATTCGTCGTCCGAATACCGTGCCGGACGTTGAGACGGCAAGAGATTGAGTTTAGTTTTATGCCAGGAAAATCGACAATGGGTCCATTTATTATTGGAAGAAAAATTTAGAGAAAATAAATATAAAATTATACATGGTGATTATATATATAGAATACCAAGAAACATTTTAAAGTGGGCATTAATGAAAATACAGGTCCCAAAAATATATAAATATTTTATTCAGGATATGTATGAAGGCTCGAGAACTAGTGAAAAGAGTTTGTGCGGAGTAACAGAAAATTTTAACGTAGGATTTGGTGTGCATCAGGCATCAGCTTTAAGCTCTTATTTGTACTCTATGGTAATGGATAAAGTTACGAAAGACATACCGGGCAAGATATTATGGTGTATGATGTTTGCTGATGATTAGGTTTTTCAGCAGTAAAAAATCTGTAAGAAATTAATAATAGGTTGGATGAGTGGAGGTTAACCCTTGAAGGAAAGGGATTAAGAATTGTTAAAAATAAAACCTAGTATATAGAGTATGACTTATAAAAATAACAATATATAAATGACAATAAGCAGTGATTTTATAGGTGAAGTAGAGTACTTTAAATATTTAGGATCATTTGTACAAAAGAACAGGAGTCTTGGCATGAATATAAATCATAGGATTAAGTATGTTTGGATGAAATGGAGAGAAGCGTCGGGAGTTTTAGGTGATGAGAGAATTCCAATAAGGCTAAAAGGTAAATTGTATAGGAATGTAGTGTTAACCAACTATGCTGTATGGTTTGGAGTATTAAGTGGTTGATAGGAAAATAGAACAAAGTATGAGTGTTACGGAGATGAGAATGCTTAGATGGATGAATGGAGTGACAAGAGAAGATAGTATAAATAACAAATATGTGAGAGGTAGTATTGGTGTAGCGTCGATAGTGAACAAGATGATAAAAAATAGACTAAGATGATTTTGGCATGTGATGAGGCAAGAGGAAACAAAAGCAGTAAGAGTGGTTATGAAAATTAACGATAAAAGGAAAAGAGGAAGAGGAAAACAAAAAAAGAGCTGGTTGGATAAGATTTAAAATGATATTAGGGCTGTTGGTGTATAGGGGATGTAGAAATTCGAGATGAGTAGAGTTTAAGGACAAAATTGGCCGACCTCAAATAGTTGAGAAAAAGGTGATGGTGAATAAGAAAATTATTATTGATCGTTATCACGAGTCGTGTGCGTTGCTCGCGAGCGACATTGACGCGTAGGCAGTCCTATAGACAGGAAATGATCAATAATAACAATTATTATTATTATTATTAAACATCAACGATATTAAAAACTCCGATATTGACATAATGTTACTGCCCGATCGTCAATTGTTTTACGGCCGACAAAAAGAAAGCCAAATTCCGCGGAGTTGATCATCACACATTTCGGTCCGTCCACCGACTGACGAATTTCTGCGTGAAATTCGTTTACACGAATCGAATAAAATATACACACGTCTCGTCTAATACCGATTTTCGTACCGCAGTACATATCTGGTCTGCAATCGCCACGCCAATGACGATCGATCAGCAATATCGATCGATAAATACGAATTTCTAAGATAAAATGTCAATAAAAAACGATGCGTCCATCGCGTTCGAGTACGTCGCGTCATTTCGCACATGTTTTCACTCCGTTCCTTATAAATATCAAAATCTTAATTTCCGTGCCGGCAAAACGATACAGATCGTGTTCCACGAAGCCACCGGTAGACGCAAGATCAGTTTCTCAACTAAAGCATTTGACGTATGCTTAAGCATTTCGACAAATTCTGCAAACAATGTTTTGCTAATTGTTACTATTATTATTATTATAGGTACTCGTTGCGTTATTTTGCATTTGTTCTAACGACTAAGCCGCATAAAATACGACACGATATCGGTACGGGGTTTTTTTTTTTATATTTGCTTTTTATGCCTGTGTCTATATTATTTTTGTTTACCTGTAGTTCTAAAACAATAATACTGGTTTATAGGTTTATTGCTTTTGATATAGTTATAAGTATGTAGAAAATCAATTAATAACGATTTTTGTTTTTGTTGTTTAACTGTTCACATAATATGTGAATATACTATAATTACTACATAATACTATTATACGTAGAAATAATTAACATTATAATGTAATGCATAATTACTCATCGTCAAAAATGTAACCATTAAATGTATCATAACATTGATCGGTTGCACACGTACACCTACCGTATGTACTAAACGTACTTTACATACAGTAGCAAGAACGTGGACGTAAATAGGAGGTGCTTGGATTTCCCTAAAATGCATTGTGTACAGCGATTGTAATACGAACTCCCTCCCGCTCTTTCTGTTCTTCAGAAACCTTTACGGTTTAAGCACACCATGCACCCGAGGACCCTATTAACGTCCACGGGTACAAGACTACTCTGTAACGTAGTTTATACCGGTACAATAACTGTTTTATTTACCTACGTGTCAACAACGAAAGCAAATATTATTATGCTAATTACATATGTAATAATAATACCTACAATGGTTCGATTCCAAACGCGAATTTGTGTATCGCTCGCGTCGGAAACGGTCAGCGTTCGGATACCTAACGCGCTAAGATAACATACTTATATTATTTTGTACGGTTACATTATACATTTGCATACAATGCGCAGTATAATATACGACCGAATCATTGTCGCGCTACGGATGCAGCTGCCAGTCGTCGTGTTATGAAACGCGTGTCGACTGTGTTGTTTATTTAAATTTTTTTATCATAATCGATTGTTCACGGACAACGGCTTTTATAGAGATCGTTTTCGGTTAACGATGCGCGAAAATCGTTTTCAAACTTGCACGTCATTCGGTGATTCAATTGTTTAACATTGCATGAAGTAGGCAGCGTTTCACCATGTGTTTACTACGGTTTAGGCTTATGACCGCTGGTATACTTACCACTGCAGCATATGTAATACATGCGTTTATACGCTCGTGATGTGCGTATTATGTATTAGTATTGCGAATGGCATGTAATACGCGTAGACGCTAGACGACTACATAATATTAGTGCTTTTTTTTAATTTTTTTACTAAATCCGCGGTTGATAACGATATACCGTATAAGAATGTAAGGCATTTAACCGCGTTTAATCGAATCTCGATTAGAACTGTTTGCAAAACACCGTAATGATTGTTTAATGTTTTCATTGTTGTTGTGTAGCCGTCGGACTCGGACAACACGGTAGGAACGGGCATCGTAAAGAGGACTGCAAGGGAAGTGTCGACGGAAAAAACAAGTTCGGCCAAGAAACGGTCACCGCTCACAGACACTGGTAAAATATGACGGCAAAGTATTATTACGATTAAAATATTATTATGTTGATAATTTATTTTCATTATTAATTACAAAAATTAATTAGGTGATTGGTAATAGTTTATAATTATTTTTACTATTTATTATTTTTTTTTATGTATAAACATTAATAATTATAATAAAGTTAAACTATGTATGATATTTTTTTCTTTTCTTTTTTTTTTATGTAACATTGCACGTGGAATAAGGGCTGTACATTCTCTATCTTTTTCTCTCTCAATCACACATGCAATAGCACACACAAGCACTCTTTAGAAATAGTTTAGTAACACGCCGTATTCACCGTATAATACACCCATAATGATTGTTGTACATCAAAGAAAAACGATAAAAATGTTCTCTGTATTAACGCAGATTCTTCGTGCGGAAATATTCATACGTTTCGTCAATTGAAACGTAAAATGCACAACAATTAAAATTAAATTATTTTTTATTCATATCGAACAGGGACCTTGAAATTCTTTGAAGAGCTTTCATCGTGAAATCGAACAGCGCAGCCATAGCCAGTACATAGTACGCGTGACGAAATAGATTATTTGCATTGTTTCAACGAAATTTTTACGATTATCCATTTCTGTGCACACCGAATACAATTTGGTTCATTTAGACATTTTAATGCATTACAGTAATTTGCGATGCAGGTGTTCATGACGACCGCGATGTTCCTTTGATCCACTGGAGTAGTAACTACTAGCGGTGGTTCGATCTAATATTAGACCAAATATTGTTAGCTATGTGTGTGCTTGGAAAGTATATAACTGCCAGCCGATATTACGTAAATTCAATTTTCTTGCAAATCTAGTGACGGCTAATAATTATTCACTCGACGTGCTTGTAGGGCTCTGCAATGTCGAACATAATAACAATATGGTCTATACGACCTGTAAATATAGTATAATGACCGCTGGAAAATTGAATTTTAAAACAAATTCAACGCTGTAATTGAAGTTTGCTGTAATTTATTATTATAAGTTAAAACTGTGTAATGTGTATCTGTAGTGCTACAGTACCTATTTATAAACAGTTTAAAAATAATCACTTACTCTAACAAGTTGTATATAAATCCGAAAATGATTTTTGATCTTTAAGAAATTATTATACTTTTAGAGAAATATTAGATTTTTATGTAACAACATTTCTTTATTTTTAATTGTTTGTCATTAAAAATATGTACAGTCGCTTTTAATTAATTAAGAACTAATACACTGTTTATAATCATAAAGCGGTAGGGGTTCTTGTTACGTAGAACGTCAGATGTCTGTAAACTTTTCGGCACATCAAATTCAATTTCAACTCCTACGATAAACTCCCTCGAGTAGAGCGCTCAACACTTACCCGTAGTATACGTTAAACAAGACTCGATGATGATGTCTCAGATTTTCAATTTTTCTCTCCCCCCTCCTTTAATCTACACACACACATACACACCTTTTTGGGTTTCGACGTAACAACAATCCACCGCTGTGCACCGCACCTGTCTCGCACCCGGCACCAACTTTCCCGGCTTCGGGAGAAAACGTGCTTCCCCACCATGGGGACTAGGGTGTTGCATCATAATACCCTGCGGTGAATTCGTGTTCCGTAACGTGAACCGAGGAGATGCGCACCCCCGTCGCATAACCCAGGTTACGGTTGCACGACGACGCGCCCACGCCGTGAGCAACGCACGTTTGTACGAGTGAAACGCTCCGTCGGACGACGCCAAAAACACTTCCCGCTGTCCACCGTCGAGATCCCTTTACGAGCTTTCCACCGGTAAAATAATAACCGCTGCATCTCGAAGGGACGGTGGACGGCGATCGATCTAAACGATCAGACATCCGGCCTGCCCACGCCGGGTAAGTCAACGGTGTGACGTCGCAGTGCTCGGCCGTTGCGAATTTATCTAAAACGCTTAAACGTGCGCCACGGACGGCCATGTGTTTTCTTTTAAACGGTGACCCGACAAAAAAAAAAAAAAATTAATAAATAAATAAATAAAAAATTTACGTAACGGGCTTCATGATGTTGTGTTCTAGAAAACGTCGACGTGACGTCGTCCGACAATACGTTGTCGAGCGGAAGCGCTAACGACGAAGCCCGATCGGATGATACGATTCTTGCCGACGACGACGAGGACCCGAAGAACAAACGGGTTTTGTTCAACTTGCGAGGTGGCGGCAGCGGTGGATCCGGAAACATTTTGTTCGACATGATTCGAGTGAGTGTCAATTCTTATACGTACGCTGTTCCTTATCTTCTCTGCTGCATTGCATACAATGTATGGTGAAAAAAAAAAACAAAAACAAACAAACTATTGCATACCTGTTGTTGTACGTATGGTATACAAAACAGAAAACGATATAATATCAATCATAATTGCTTAATAATAATAATAATATTATACCCCTGTTGTATTAACCTCGTCGACATAACACTACTCACGCGAGCGTGATATCCGCGACTTCCAATCACAACAGTATTATACGAAACGTGTAAATGTCCAGTATCACGTTTTGCCTTCGTCTAAACCGTTAGAAAACAAGTAGATTTATTATATCGTATTTACAAACACCGATGTGGGCCTACGACTGTACATTTTACATATTTTTCACGCCTGTACAACGATTCCGTAATAAAACGCAATTCGTTTCCATATAAAAATCAAAAACAACCGTAGTTACCTATCCTTTTTTATACCCACTAATGACTTTGATGATGATTTTTGAATATCCACGTGTTTCAGATTCAAGTTTCCCCCCCCTTCAAATCAACGGTATTTAATAAATATTACCGAGCGTTTAATGTAATGTAATAATAATAATAATATCATGTAATATGGATCTTGTGTTTTGATCGCTGCAGCACTTATGCAATTACAATCATTACAATACTATTACTAATGGTGAAAAACGTTAAATGTATACTAAATGCTAAATAAAACGTGTGCAACGGGTACATTCACCGACCACCAAGGTCGGTATTTCAATTCGAATTATTTAGTAAACCGATAAACGCCCACTTTAATAATAAGATATCGTATTTCATTTGTTTAAAAGACCTAGGACAACTTTTACTCGAAACCAGTCGACTGCATTACAATAAGCTCGATATAATTGTTTTTTTTTTTTTTTTACATTCAAGAGTTGAACACGCACGACTCATGCGGTGGTACTCATATTTGCTTGCACATCAATAGCGCGCCGAATCGAAGGATTTCGGCACACTGAGACAGATATTTATAAATTCCAGCCAGTTTTAAAACATCTGATTGACTGCTTAAAAAAAAAAAAAATTAAAAAAACAGAAAAAAAAATACATTAATACCTGTTGATCGGTCTATCATAATTTTCTATTTAACTTACCAGCACTGTTGGTCAATTGTAATTGTCTATGTCGGTACATTTAAAAACTGTTATGAAAATACTCAGAACAACATGTTAATGTTTTTACCTCAGAAAATGTTTAACGTCGTGTCCGATGGAATGGCAGAATTTTCATAGTACCAGACCATGTTTTGTTGATAAAAAAAACTCGTGGATTATTGACAATAAATCGGGAAAACGAAAAAAATCCTTGGTTAACATCGTGAAAATAACGAAACCTCCGATTATAATTTCCAGCCCTGACATAAGAGGTGCCGTAAAAAATTTTGATTGCATTGTGATATGACGGATCATTATATCGTTCTATCTCACATAGTTAATTTTTTGTATAACTCTTCAAACACTATTACTCGTTATTTCAGTATTATTTGAAAAATCCTTTTACATACTTAAATATGTATCAAATTAATCCTGCGCTTTAATATTATATTCTAATGAAAAAAGTAAAAATGATTACGTTTTTTAACGAAAATGTTTTGATTGCTTTTTTTTTTTACGTACCTACTGATTCGAAAAACTGATGGATACATTTTTATAGAGCGATTCCTATTGACGAGATAGTTTATTAAACGTGTGTTACCACGTGTACATGCCTAATGCGGGTGCATAATAGAAATTTCGAAATCAATATTTACGGCGAATCGCCAAGCATAATGTGGAATATGTCCAACTCACGAATGCGATTGCGATAGGAGAGACACTAAATGAAAACCTTATTGATTTCGACCATATCGTCTTAGTCGCGTGGATAATTGTTGATAAAATATTTGTTGTGTACATTCAAAAAATATTATATCATACACACACAATACTACTGGGGACGGAGCGTAGTTTATATGACGAAATTTCAATTAAATTGTGTATAATTTTTCTTCGAATGTTTGAGTGAAAGGTGTACAAACATTATTGAAAATGTACAATCAATTAAATAAAATGATCCGAGAGACAGAGAAAACATACTGACCTATATTATATTATTATTATTATTATTATTATTATTATTTTACACGAATGACTGTACTAATCCGATACCTTTCTCAAGTATAAAAACGTCATTGTCACCAAACAATCATTCCGAAATACCCGAGTTATATACAAGGTGTAGTTATGTTTTATATTGAATGTTCTTCTATTCAACGCTAGACCGGGGGGTGTATATAATGTAATATATTAAGTTAGGCTATTTTGTATGATAATGATTTAGTTTGCTCTTATCGAACAAAATTTTATCTCAACCCTTTGTCGATCTCAATCGAATTATACAATCAATCAATACAAGTCTTTCTTTTCACATGAAAGTACATGTTATCCGGTGCAAAAATAATTATGGTTATGAAGCAACTTTAACAAATACGTTTATATATATTTAGTGAGAAAAAAAATCAATAGATTGATTTATTAATTTTGATTTTTTTTTTTTTTTTTAATTCTTCCATATACCTAGTTTGAAAATTTAAGTCATGTCTTGCATGTTCTAAACGACTTGTACTTGATTTTAAATCTTTGAGATAAGCTTTTGCGTTACGTGATCGACAAAGGGTTGATAAAAATCTTTTAAAAAATATAGTTTGAGGCAAAAAAGATTTTTTGGTTTTCAATAGAGGGGAGCAGACAGAGCAGCTAGGGCTGCCGGTGGTTTCTACAGAGTGGTCGCAGGAACCGACCCAAACACATTAACACTCGCACAGCCTCTTCAATATCCATCGGTAAATAACTTAATACCTAGTCAACCTTTTTTTTTTTTTTTTGTTTTATAATTTTTTCATATGTAGCTCCCAAAAATAAAATTAAAATTAAAATCGTAAAAAAAAATATAAAATGTTACTCTTACTTAATATACCTATACCTCATTCTATCACTCAAATACGATACCACATTTTTAAAATCATTGAAATACTTGTTAATACTGTAGCTTTGTCTACACAAATACCTATTAATAAACGGCTTAAACTTTTTAAACAATCATTTTGTAGAAAAATATACTCTTCGGATTTGATGGAAATCAAGTGATAGATTCTACTTCTACTTTCACTAACCACTATTATATAACCAAATATAATTCATGATATAAATTGTCATCGTTGGTGAGTCTAGAAAAAAAACTAGTAACACTTGCCAATGAATACACATATATACCTAACCTGCATCAGGTTTTATGTTCAAATTTACGACTTGATATGATATTATAAATTTGGCAAAAACCTGTACGACTTCGTCTATTTTTACATGTAACAATATCGAAAATAACTACATAAAACTGATTTTTTTCTCTAACAATATTTTTTTTAATATGACCGATGTTATTTTCATCGAGGTAAACGATACACGCATTTTTCAAAATGTCAACAAAAAAAAACGAAGTTTTTGCTACAAATGAATACATGCGTGGTAATATTGATTTACTTAATATACGTGATAAAGTAATTATAACATAAGCTATAGTTGTCATCATGATATTGAAATTTTCTTTTTTCATTTTGTACCCAATAATATATAATACTTAAATATTATACGAAATCATTCATACAGTAGGTATATTAATGTCCAATCGTGCGCAACCGTCAGCAATAATACGATCTTGACGTTCAATCGTAGTTATAATGTCAATGTGTAGAACATGTAGAATCAAATTGATCATTCAAATTTAAATTATTATTCAAATTTTATTAAGTTTTATTCAAAATTTTTCCTCGATGTTAATGTTATTATCTTTCGACACATGAAATAGATTTGAACAGCATGTGTGTCCTATGTTAGTTTCTCTCAACTCAGATGTAAAAATTAGATGTATTGTGCGTTGGGTACCAAAAATTCACCTTATTCAGTTCCGTGACTATTAAAATTCTACAAGTTGTAACGATATCAATACTTCTGTACGGATTCCAGTTAGCCGTTTAATAAAACTCTTATTTTACATAATCCCGGATGTATCATTTGCGTATCGATAGATCTGTCGTTGTACATGTCCTATATTTTATGTCAAAATTTTTTTTAAAGATCCACTCGTCCACGTTGTAGATCCTTAAGACGATTTGAGGGCTATCAATTATGTACGGTCATATCACGGCGAAACGTTTTGCGTGACAATTGCATTGTCGCCGTAGTCAGCTTTTATTCGTAACCGATAACGAACAATATTTATAACAGTATTCGTCGTTCCCCTCCCACCCGTACGCACCACTGGTAAACTCGATCACGTTCAACACGCTTAGGCAACACCTTATCCTCTCCACGGTAACGTTCATAATCGACTGAATTCTCCCAAGTAAGATCGACGAGCAGAAATAAAAATACAAAAAAAATCTTTTTTTTTTTTTTTAAAAAAAAGAAGAAGAAAACAAATGACATTACTCCGTAAAACGTTACTTCGCATACCTGACAACCGATTGACTTACACTGTGATCCATTATTTTCTGTGTGTTTGCCTCCCGGAACAGTTGATAGCCGGCAGCGGTGCGAACCAGGACAAAGACGAGGTGGCCGACGGTTCACAGCTCGAAGGCGCCGAATCTCAAGAAGTGCGGACGGACGTGAACGCCAAGGAGGACGGTTACAGCGTCGGCGTGCCCGGACCGCTGACTAGAATCTTCGTAATCGCCAACCGAGGCGTGGCCAATTTGGTCCAAGACTTGATTCTCGTAAGTGCATCAACAACTATATATATGTACCGCACACGGGGTCAAAATCACAGCGAACAGGAGTGTGAGGGCGGATGACCATCCGTCCCGTTCCGTACCACTAGCCGGTTATAGCGGATTACGATTAGATTTTCAAAGGAAGGGAGTAAAGGAAAAATAGCATTTAAAAAAGAAATAATAATACATTTTATATCGTTTTTCTATCGTCCGTAGATAGCGAAAAAATGTAACAGGGTTAAATTGGTCGATTATAAAAAATAAAAAATCATTTAGTCTCTCTTTGGAAGGAATTTAATTTTTATCGAGCACAGGTTAGAGTTATAATTTTGAAAATAAAATATCAATGGGTATAAATTATTCAACGGAGAGGGGGGGGAGGTGATTAATACTCCGGATCTCCTTGATCACTGTGTACCGTACGGTAATTATATTATATTTACATGCAGTTACGGCATAAAATATCTAATAATTATGTGTGCGCGTGTGATTTTTCAGAGATTGGCCCAGACCACGGAGCGAATAGTGAACTTCAAAGCCAGATTAATCACATCTCTCATCTAAGCAAATATTCAAGTTTGCGTAGTAATTTTGTAATTTATTACCTACAAACGATCCATTTTAGTCATAACCCATATGGAGATAAAAATCTTGGTTCTACGTCTTTTTTTTGTTTTTCTTTTTTTTTTTTGTTTCAAGCAACGTAGAATATGTATCGACACGATTTTTCTTTTAACTATGTATGTAATTATTATAACATATATATATTAATAATTTGTGTACAACAATCGTGTTATATCATGACACATCCATACAAATGTAAATTATACGACGAAATCAAAACTTAAAATAGCCAAATTATTATTATTATTATTATTATTATTAGTAGTATTATCCATTTTTATTGTATATTATAAACGATTTGTCTATATTAACGATGTCTAGTTACATATATTCACCTGTGTGCATAAAAAACCGATATTATTATTTTTAATACCTAGTTAATTTTGTGAAACGTGTGCCAAAACACAATTTATGTATGATATCCACCAGACCATTTACGATTCCCGTTAGGAAAACCAATTCTTAATTACGTCAGATCATTAACTATTAATTAAATTAATTTTTATCGTAAATTACATCATAATGATAACATATTCAAAATTGTTTTCATCGACACATCATATTACTGGTAGTTACGATAAAAACGAAATTTAGTTATTGTTACGGTTTAGTAAATTTGAAAAAAAAAATAATCAAAATTATGTACTTAGTGTATTGGTATATTAGATATAATGAAATTGTAAAAACATATATAATCATATTTTTATTGTATTTATTAGACCCATAAAACGTTTAAGAACACCGTGTCTTTGATTCGTTTTACATATTGTAGTTTTTTTTTTTTTTTATTTTGTATTTATAAGTTATTTACAAACGAAATAAATAATATTGCTCAACGATTTTGTTAATGTAAAAATAAACATATATTCGTAAATTAATTATTATACTACAATATTTCGTATTCGACCAACGGTAATAATAATAATTATCTTTATATTTATATTTATTTATAACTGTATTTTCTTCGTTACAACTGTCCGTGTGGTGTTTTCCTAAAAAATACTTCACAGCGTTACATATCATGTGTAGACTATAATAATATTCTAATTATGTAATAAACACACATTTTACACTCGCAGCTTAGATACCTATTGTTCATTTCCACTTCGTCGTGTTATAAAAAATTGTAATATTATCAAACAAGCACCCATCTCGTATACGTATACATTATTGACCTTATCGTTACGAAAAACGCGCACGTCATTACACTACAGCACTTCGTTTATCGTTCAACTTTCGTTTTTCGTTAATTTATTTCATTTTCATCATTTCAATACGTACAGTTATACTGTGATAGTGTACAGGTAGTTAAAATGAGGTAAGATATTACAATAAGGTGTTATAATTGGTCGTGATGTTACGCGATCTTTTTTTTACGGTACATGTTATACAAATAATATAAGTGTTAAACAGGTGCATTTTGTACCAGAATGATTTACGTAGCGCAATGTTTCGGTTTTTTCGCGAAATGCATATTAAAAACATTTGATTAAGGTGCGTACGCAAAAAAAAAAATTTGAAAAGAGGGGGTTTAGGTTGTACATTTTCATACTTGCGCAATCTATATACCACTTTTACTCTCTAAAACATATTTAATAATTTCTCTGAATTGGTTGTGGAGTGGGGTTAGATAAACCCCCCCTTGCGTACACACCTGATTTGATTGAACATTAAATATAAATATTGTATACATTTCGATCAATGATTTCAATAACATTATATGTATCGTAAGCGTTACGTTCCCCGAAGATCTACATTTGTATCCAGCGTCCTGACGATAGATCTACGTTCTCGCGATGACGTGCTATCCGGAATATACTGAACACACCATATTTCACACATATTGCTATGAGAAAAAAACCCCTTACGCCCGTAATAATACGTACAACGTAATTGAATAATTGTTTTTAAAATCTTATTACTGCAATAGTGTGTACATGGCGGCAGCTTGAACAAAAGTAACTTAGTCGGCTAAATAAAAATAGGGCCCCATCTTTATTTAGATACAATTGAAAAGACATGGAATATATTTTTTTAATACTTATTATAAGGTTACTATTAAAAACTACTTATTATAAACTTATTATAAATAAACTTATTACATGTTATTATAAGCCTACGGGCTAGGGACACACAAATATTCAGTCAATAAATATGTTTATTTCTGATCACAGGGGGAACTAGGGGGTGGAAGACGGGGATTCGTCCCCGGGCGTAACATTTTAGAGGGTATAATTTTTGTAATTATTAACAACTAATTTGATATTTTCAACTTTGTTAGAAAAAAATTAGAAAAAAATTCTCGAGAAGAGTATTTGATTATTGGTCTATGATAGGGCGTAGTTTTAACATTTTCCCCGGGTGTAAAAATTCCTAGTTCCACCTCTGTGTCTGATATCGGACTCACAAAAGTTGCAATAACAGATACAAGATATAAGTTAATTTAATTAAAGAGACGGACTCACGCGTTTCGGTTGATGTTGACTCCGTGAGAAAGGAAACACGATACATCGGTCAACAAATAGTGACGAATTTCAGGAACGTCAACTTGTGGCGACGAAAGCGCACAGCAAAACAGACGACGATATATATGACGTACGCGACGTATAATCGTATCGATGTGTGGCGGCGGTGGCGCGCAATGTATCGGACGACGATATATACGAATAAAAAAAAAAAACGTGCGTGCAACTATGTTTTTTTCGATAACGAACAAAAAACGACGGTAAGAGCGGAGATACTAAATAATTTTAATGTCGACGTATGCGTAATATCAAAAAAAAAAAAAAAACATGCACTTAATAGCGCACTTCGATAAGTCTCCTTAAACAATAACGACGCGACACCGCGAACATGGTAGTGGTTACACGAGGGGCACCGAAAGCGCGACCGGTTAAGGTGAACTAATGACAGCGGTGCAGGTTCATTAGTTCACACTGTCAACTCCACGAAGTAGACAAAGGCGTATCCACATATAATTTACTCCGATTTATAATAAAAACATTTTTTTCTGAAATATTGGAGAAAAAAAAGCACAATATTCAAATAGTTTCATTAGAAGAGCGATCGCCGTCTCGCCGACCTGGCCAGGCCACCAATGGGTACGCTCATTATTGTTGTTACGACGTGAAAATAATCGAATCTGTCATTTCATCAAAACTGCATGGATGGTAAGATTATAAAATTGAAATCGTTTTACGCGAACCACCACACATATAACAATATATGTAAGAGAATTCGATTTTTCCCTACCCTCACATGTTTACAAACCTACTATAGTGTGATATATCAGGTCCGCGATGTTCATTATCTGTGTATGGTATGAAATAATCTCTACTGGGGCTTACACACCATTCAGTCTTCAGTTCAAACATAACTTACGGTACCTATTTCTATGTTATTATTCTTTACTTTTTAGTTTGTCTGTTGTAATATTTATAATAGATTCGAGGTTCAAAAAAATTATACTAATTTTTTATATAATTACTTATATTTATCACAATTCCTGCTACAGTAGCAAGTGCAGAACGCTCTTTCTCTGTATTTGATATAGGTAATCTGAAAATGTTTTACGTGCGATCATGTGTCAAGACAGGTTATCGAGCTTATGAGTGTTAGCGGTGGAAAAACAACTGGCTATATTAAAAGTAAAGTACTTTAAGTACTATATTCGGAAAAATAACTTTTCGTGGCTATGGTGATTTCGCTTATTTACCATAAAATTAAACGTTGTTACCAAAGAATAACACAATTGTTCTAAGTCACCTAGTTATTATATTTATAGTATATTCATTTGTAATCAAATTATTTTTTTATTATTCCAAACCCAACAAAATGGTGATGTTCTATTCGTTTCTGGTCACAAAACTTACTTCTTTACTACTGTGTCATGCGAGGAAACTGATTTAAAAATTCATTGGACTATGCGCAAAACGCTCACTCGTAATAAAATCTTATGTTTGTACCCCACCGGCTCAATTTTACAATTGGGCCAAGGTTAAAAGCAACAAGTATTTCATGAACATTAGTAAGGGAACACGGGGTAAAACCACAGACATATATATCTGTGGTTTTATATATAAAACCGTTGTTTTATATATCTGTGGGTAAAATCGATACGGAGGCAAAACCAATATTGCTTATCACGCATTATTCTATGGATGAGAATTATCAGTTTTAGATTTATTTCATTCCTTATCATTAAACATGTTTTTAACACTTTTATCACCATCTGCAATGATATGGTTTAAATTTTTATTCGATGACGAAATTTTAAAGGTAATTATTATTATATTTACATATTTTGAATCTATGATATAACAATGATAGAAATATATTACAATTATCATACTTGTTTAGTATGAATTTATAACTAGTAAAGACTGTTTTGCAATCACTAATCTAAAAGGATTGTCATGTTCTTCATTACGCCATGGTACTATTGAAAGACTCATTATTGTAGCGCCACGAAAATTATGAATAATTGTTCAAATATAAATTTATGGTCGCCAGCGAGTCATGTGGCGTGGTAATAATGATCAACTACGAGCACCGGCGGGCATAAAAGTATAGAATATGAACTAAATATTAGGACTATATATATTAACTTATTATTAGGACGCAAGTTGTGTAGTAGTTTAGAAAACTCTGAAAACAATTAATGTGGAAAAGATATTTCGGGACGCAATTTATGTACACAGAATTTAACTATCTAAAATTTAGTTTTAAAATAATCCGACCTACAGATTATTAGGCTATGTCCACATGTTAGGTTAATTAAAGCAATAAAAAAACAAATTTCGGATGTACATGAGGATAAAAATTTCTATGAATTATATGAACAGTCATTGATAATTGCACAAAATGCAAACGTACCTATCTATTCAATCAAATAATGATATTTCTTCGAATATGATGTCTCAAAGTTCAAGTAGAATGATGGATTATTACATAACTTCTATTACTGGTAAAAGACGTATTTTTTCAAATAAGAAAAAAAAACTGAACTTAAAATAATATTTTAAATGTCATATTTGTTGAAATTAACAGGCGTTCGATGAAAGTGTTGAGTATTATGCTGTTTTAGGTGTATTAGACCAAACTTCAAAAGAATTTGTAGACTGTTAAACACTATGTAATTTTGCAAAAACTTTTTCATTTTATCGATCTATTGAATTTTTCATCAAACTAAAATATCAATGTGTATTAAGTAAAAAATTATTTTCTTCTAGTTCTGGTCTTTCTGAACTGTTGAATCAAGTACAAAATTACGTAGTCTGATTGCGGCCGATGCGTTATATTGTCACGTTGTTACGCCTACTCTTATGTTTTGATCATTCCAACACCACGACCCGATTGATTTTCAGCAAATAAATCGTCTTGAACGTTCGTCCGTTTGAATTCTGGTGACTATAGGACTGTATATTCTTATTATAATGCATACATGTCCGAGGAAGTACCGTGCAGGATACCATTTAGACGACCTACTCATTTTAAGCATGATTATGTAATTCAGAATAACGCAATAACAACGTCTAGTTATCTTCTCCTTCGCCTTTCTCCCAGCTATTTGGGCGCCGGCCACCCTTGTTCTAAACAAGTTATAATTAGGTTATAACTATAAAAAACAAAACTTTTTCCATTGCTTAATATTTTAATACTTTGTATTACAAACAATAGTGTTACACATTCCGATTTCATAATAATTAATGTTTTACGAAAACCGCACGATAGAAATAAATTCATATTTTTTAATATATTATGTTCATTTATTATTTGAGTAGAGTTTGAAACCATAACACCGCATCCTCGGCACGCTTCTACATCGTACTACATTATATGCTTATGTTATTCACCAATAAAATATTACGATTGTTTGAATTCGTTAACCATAAAGTTAATAACTATTTCGTTGCACGTCGATGGTATTCGATTTTGTGCAGTGTTAATGACAATGTGGATGAGATATTTTAAATTCAATTATTGTATTATGCGAAAGAAAAAAAAAGAGAAAGCATAACTTTTTACGTATTCGTTCGCGTCGCGCACTTGCCCGTCTTGGGTAGAAGTATCGCCGTAATAGCTGACTTGTGTACAACCTCAAAATTAAGTAGGAGAAGCTGAATTAAAACATACAAGTCTCTTTCGTGAGTCCAAGAGCAGACCAAGTCGACCTTCACAATGTGCACAACTATCGATGTGTTTAGAGACTTACCTCCGTAACCGCAGGATAAGGATTTTTAATGAGTAGGTAACACACGAAGTATTCTTGGTTATCATGAGGTCGATTCAGCACTTACACCTGATGCCCTCGTTTAAGGTTCTTGGTGAGCACGCACAAAAATATAAATCTGATCGAGCCCGTGAGCACGTACGTAAGCAAGAAATTTGAAAAGAAAGAAATGGCTGTACGGACCGCGCGTACCGGTATCGAGGATACTACATAACGATTTTCCCCGACTGCGCTGGGTCCATTGCCCTTGCATAGCTTTAGGCTTACGTGTAGGCATTTTGTCGGTCGATAATCTAAAGATATTGAGAGCTTAGTTCTAGACCGACGACGGTGTATTCAAATGGTTCTTTATTCGTACTGTTTATCTTGTTTGAGACGTCAATTCTCGTCACCGGTCACGTAGGCTGTATTCTTGTAATTGATTGAGCAATGTTATTTGTATTCTTCAGATCACTCCGCGACGACAGCAGTGTGCGTGAGAGTGACACTAGTTATACTTTATTGTTTATTTATTATATATAAACGTTCGTCATCTGTGTTCGTGCTGCTACTTCTAAATTGTACACTAGAAGTCATAATGTTTCATGTACAGTGTGCATATTGTTGATGAGCCCCCGGTCGCACTTGTGCTCCAGCTACCGCTATATTACATGCATGTACACGTGTTCGGGGACGGACGATCTTCTCAAGCGAACGGAATTAAAACAACCACTACCGTTGGACGATCGATAGAAAAAACTTTATTTTCGGTTAAACTAAAATAACAATACTTAGTGATTGCTTCTGAAAACGAACTCGCCGAAAATGTACGATTCCAAATATCCGAAGTTATAATTTAACACGTTGAGCACTTCTGAATTCCAAAAATAATCAATTTATTACAAAATATGTGTAGTCATCAGAAATGTACTATAAGTCATACGTAATAGAATGCTACTTTTAAAACAAGCTGAAAAACGCACATAATTGGTATTATTTATTTTTTTTTTTATACGGAGTTATGTACAGGCAATTCTAATGGTACAGATATTTTTTAAAAAAATGAAACAATTTCAGCATACCGAGTTTTGTTATCGTTGCGCAAATTGGTGACCTTATCGATAAAAATGTTCACTGCGGATTAACCCCACCGTAGGGCTGTTTCCGTAATCGATTAAAGTGCATTGTTACGGTGAGCAAAACAGAATTTTATTACAGTGTCAAAACGTTTATATTCGATGGTTCGTAACTGAACGAAAATGAGAAAATGAAATTTATGATCACAGATGAAAAAATGTAAATTATTATAATCTTATGCCATCAGAAACGCCACAACAGAGTAGTGTTAAAATACCGAATCAACATGTGACTACGACATTATGGATAAGAACGGTACACTAATGGTCAATGGGATCGATTCTGAACAATAAAAATAATTTAACTGAACGAATAATAGTTATAACTAGGACTTGAATGATTATGCACTTAAAATTACTGTAATGCGTAAGTGTATATACACTGCAAATTTACCAAGTATACAAACTAAAAATATATTATAATTTATAATTTTTTAATTTTTATTAGTTGTTGTTATCATATTTTTTTAATAGCTATTATATACTACCTAATTTATAATATGAACGTTTTACTGTGATACAATTGTTTTTTTTTTTTTAATTTGATCAAACTTGAATCTAAAAATATTTGAGACAAGCACAATTATTTGGATCAATAATTTATCATTTATTAAAATTATTTTTAAAAAATTTACAAATGCACTAAAATATATATTAAAATTCTTAAAATTTGTAGAAACACGTATTTAAAATATAAAAAAATATGCAAAATAAAAATGATATTATTTAATTTAATAGAACATGAATTAAATTTGAACCCTGGTCTGCATTTCTTTTTTTTATTTATTTAATTAAAATAAGACATTCCTACTTGCCCATGAGGACTATCTACATCTATAGTCTGCATTAAATTGGATCAATAGTAAAAAATATACAATCCCATAAATATCCTAATCTTAGTTATAATCTAGTTATAATAATTCAACAACGTGCTCAGTATTTAATAATCGACTAACATTGAATTATAAATTATAATTGGAATTGTAAAACAAAATCGTTAAACACAGTTAATTATCATGGAAAACTCAGGTTAAAAGTTCAATTAATGATTTACCTATCTGAAACACAATCAAAAAAAATTACTAAATATTTATAAACAAATAATATTACACTAAAATAATAGATAAATAGTTATCGAGTCTATTTGTTAATGATCGTTATCAACAAGCACATAATAAGAAAATAATGTTGTATCATACTTTTAAATTCAGTTTTGTTAGCATTTACAAAATGTTCCAAGAATTTACAAATATGTATAATGGTTCTATTCGTAATACCATAGTGGCTTATGAGTACTTAATGCTCTTTGTGACATTTATTCGATTTTGATTGTACATTTGTTGTTATTATATTAAATTTCAATGTGTTGCATAATTTATGTACCAACGCACTAACAGATTTAACATTTTCATCACTGGTAATAAATATATAGAAATAAATTAGTAATATTTTAAGTCTAAACACATTATATTATTAAATATTTTATTTATTTTCATTTATTTTAAATTCTAAATTAGATTTATTGTATCACAACAGTAATATCATTTATTTAAAATTAAAATCATATGTGTTATTTTTCAGCATTATTTTTTTTACTTAATTTAACTTATTTTAACTAAATTAACTGTTTACTAGTTAATTAGTTAAAACACTTATATTATAAACATCATATAATAAATAAATAACACAAATATAATTTGTTATGTTTGACATACATTTTTTTTTTACTTCTCCAACCTTAATCTTTGATCTTTATAGTATTTAAGATATATATAGTATATATCTAAATAATAATTAAAAACAATAATTATTTCTTAGGTCCATTTTCTAGAAAATTTGACACATGGTCATGAGGTATCAAAAAATGTACATTGATTCTATAAATAAATAACATTGTGCTTATAATAATTTCATATTTACAACACCTAACAAATAATAATTTGACAGGCATAATATATTAATCAATAGTTAACATGAGTTCCACAATACCAAAGGACAAATATAAAAATAGTTAACAATTAAAATCATCTAAAATTTAATTCACAGGCTAGTTTAATATTTTCTTTAAAAAAGTCTTTAAACTTTTTGACTTGTTTTCAGGTTCTATTTTGTTTTTATTTGCTTCAATGAGACTCTTACTGTGTTGTAATGGTCCTGACATTCGTTGGTTTCTAACTGATAGTGCGGTTTTTATAAAATCATGGGTTGTGCCGCCGCAAGAAGTAAGGTCAGATGAGGAGGCTCTTCGATTTTCTTGATTAAGACCTGATAAAGATTTTAGTCTAATATTACCATCATTACCACCAGCTTCTAAATTAATAGCATTAGACTTAGATTTTAGAATTAGTTCTTTTCGCTTTTTTCTACGTTTCCTTTCATTTCTTGTACTCTCTCCATTATTATTTCTGATTAATAAATCTTGATGAGTGGTACCTATAAAAATAATAATAAAATTATAATATTTTATATAAATTATAATATATATGAACAAGTAAAATTATTTTAGCTTTTTTACTCTTTCAATTAAAATACATAAGATAATTTTTTTTTTTTTTTTTTGTTCCATTCAAATTTCATTTCCAGATGTGGAAAATAAATTTATAAATTAAAAATTGTAATATAAAAGAGTTTATTCCAGATTTTTATTTTTAATTATTAAGACACAAACGTTGATGAATTATAATACCAAATTTTAAACCAATACCAAATATATATTTATACATAAAAAGCTTTAAATTCTCAAGTATTAGCAATACATTTTGAACAATAATTTAAAAAATTAAATTAATAAAACAATGATTTTTACTTTAAATTCGTTATTTTGAAATAATACACTATAGAACAATAAACATTTTACAAATTTGCTTATTGTATTATAGTATTTTAGTAGTATTGTTATTCAAATATTAATCCTAGCAATATATTATAAATGCATTTAAGGGACTTTAAAAACCACTCATAACTTTTATGAAACTTTACTATAAATAAAATTAATAATATTATGGTTTAATTATGATTTACTTTTGCAATGTTTCAAAAACCTGTTGTAAATTTTAATTTGGCATATGAAAAAGTTGAAATACAATTATTATATAATTTATCATTTTGAAAAAAAAAATAAATGCACACATACACATTGTTAAACAAATAGATTCCTTAGTACCACTGTCAATCTAAAAACTAAAAATTTATACAAATTATATTAAATTTAACAACAGTAAAATATAATTAGAAGGTAAATTAATATTATTTTACAGCTAATGATTAAATTTATATTATTATTCGTATGAGTTTCATTTTAAATCTCACAGGATTTAAAAAATAGAATTTTTTTTTCTGGTTTTTACTGTTTTAACATTATTTTTATTATTATACATACAACATTCAACATATTTTTAGTCAATAGGAACAACAATGACATTCTTTACTTTAAATACAATTTTTTTTTTAATTTTGACTATACAGTGCTGTTTTCTAAAAAACACATACTTTTAATTTTACTTATATTCAAAATATATCACATAATTAATAATTTAATTATCGAATTAATAAAAAAATCTTGAATTTTCTCTTAAGATAATTCAATAAAAAAACTATTTTGAAATATTCTCTTTTTAGGAAATATGTCTATTATTTATATAGTTTAATTTAAAAATTTTGATACATGAAAATATCAACCTTAAAATTACAATAAAAAGTTTATACCTGATGAAAATAACGCTTCTTCGCTGGGACGTCTTTGTTTTTCTTTAATATTTGATAAGATATCATTAGTTGACTGTCTACGAACACTTGACCTTGTATTAGAATTCTTCCATTCAAATTCTTGATTTTTTTTCCCAATGATACCAGTCATTTTAAGTATTATATACAACAAAATAAAAAGGCAAAATATTCCAACTTTAATGGGATTGCTTTCAGGAAGAATAACAGAAAACTGAAAACGCATATAAGTAAACTTTAGATTTAGAATAAGTAATCAAGTATCAAGTAATAAGTAGTCAAGAAAAATAATGTAAATAATAACCAAGTTTAAATTTTCTGTCTCAGTTTTGAGATTGTGAAGTGAATATTGAAGAGAAACCACCTGATCACTAAGAACTTTCATCTCGTCAAGAATTTTAAAATCACGTTCTCTTTTTAATCTATTTTCTTCAACCAACTCTAAAATAGTACGTTGCATGTCATCAACTTGTTTTTTATAACGAGTGCTTAGCTCTTGTAAATATTCACCACTAAGAGACATATTTCGTTCTAAATCCTATATAACAATCAAAATATCAATGATGAATAAACTTAAAGCTTAAATTTTCAACTATTTTCAAAATAAGTATTACTTTAATACGGTTTGCTAAGCGAATGAATAAAGATTGCTTATTATTTTGTGATTGAACTGACGGTTGTACAGGGTGCTGTACAGTTGACTCTATTGCTGCAGGATTGCACTTGTTAGTCTCTTGTTCTTCAACCTCAAATTCTTTAAAAAAACTATCAAATGTATCTGTTGGATGTTCAACTACTTTTCCTTCATTTGTAGAATTTGTTTCCAAAGTATTCTGGACTTCAGACTCCATTGATTTTTCATCAATAGTACTAGTAATAACTGAAAAATATGTTAACCTAATTAGATAAAAAACATGATATTATAAAAAGTATATATTATGATACACATGTTTAAAAATATACATACATTGTGAGGAACTTTGTAAAGGAACATGGTTTGTTGAATTAGACTCAAAATATGATGTATGTGTTATATTTTCATTATCTATTATTGCTGATTCTTTTATTAGATATTTTTTTGAAGAATCTGTCTCTTCATCTGTACTAGAATAAGTTTTGGTGGGCAATATCTGAGATATAAGAGGCTCAATGTAACTAGACAAATCCAACGATTTATTATCAATGGGTGTGTTAGAATTAGACGTATCATTTCTTTGATGGAGATTTGTAGTACTATCATTAGAAGTTTGTTCATTTACATCTGGAATTGCTGTTTGTAAATTTATTATCAAATCATCACTGATGTAAACCCGTTTTGCTTTATTTAATACAATTTTTTTGTGTACAATAGCTAAAGTATTACATAAAGCTGCCATTCTTACACGAGGAAATATTGATAGGATAAATTTTTTCCTTAAATTACTATTTAATGAGATCTTCCGACAAGATTTATTTTTAATTGTTAAAAAATTTAATCCATACTCTACACATATATCGCTTTTCATTACCGTATCGTGAATATACCTATTTTGATACATTTCGGTTAAAATATCAGCTTCACAACTCATTGTATCAAACATCCTAGAAAAAATAGATAATATTAAGAAAACATAATTATTAAAATTACAAATTTTTATAAATATTGTAAAATTACTTTTTATAAAAAGTATCATTACAATTATGGCAGACCATAATATACCCTGGAGTGATACATTTGGATTGTTCGACATGTACTGTTTGATTATCAACAGTATTTGTCAATGTATCATTGGAAAAATGATTAGTCTCTTTTTGTCTTATATCTAATGCATCAGTAGCAATTTTTACAATTGTCATTACTGCAGCATGAGCACTTCCAAATAGTGTATTTTTATTATCAGCTGTTTTGTTTTGATTATTTTGAGTATTTTCATTCATCACATCATAATAATCTGCATCTTCATTTTCAGCGGTGTTACTTTCCAACCCATTTTCATCAGATCTTTCCAACACCTAAATTGAAATTAAAATGAATTTTTATACAACTTAAATGTTATTGCTATAACAATGCACATTAGTATAAATTATACCTCAATTTCTGATAGTCCATAAGCATGAAATACAGATATTGGACAATAGTGTTCTTTCCCATAATGTGAATGTATTTCAACTTTGATATATTTGTTAAATTCATTATCATCTGTTGTATTTAAATTAAATGCCTGTAATACTCGTACATCTTCGGCCACTAATTTAGCAATTGGTGTCCACACTCGTGCATTTAATCGAGATGCAACATATACTGAAAACTCTTTTGGTGTCGATGAAAACAGTTCAAAATTAGCTAATTGGATTTTACAAAAAAAAAAAAAAATAATAATAATAATAAATAAATAAAACAATATTAATTATACACAAATATTTGTAAAAAAAAAATGTTAATATACCTTTTTCACTTGTATTGCTTCACATAATTCCACAACAAACCAAGTAGTGCTTTTACATAAATTTAATAAATATTCATCAGTTGATTTTGTTAACAATAATTGTGGATATTTTGCTTCAGGATTAGTTGAAACTACTTTAGCACCACACTCAGGTGATGCATAATTTTTTTTTAATACTTTTTTATTATGCTTATATTTGGTTTCATTTGTAGCTAACATAAAAAAAACAAGAGTACAAAGAATTAAAATTAAATTGATTCATCATAAGTATTGAATATACAAATTAATTATAATTAATATCTTAATTATTTCAAACCTGGTTGTTTTTCTGCTTCCTCTAGTTGTTTTTTAGTCCACTCTCTAAAAGAAGGAATATCTTCATTTATAGTAACATTACGAACTGTTGAGGTTACATCAACAGATTGAGTTTGGTTTTCTTTAAGTTCACCTTGGTCTATATTATTAGTTTTAATAATAATATCTTCAGTTAAACTATCTTTGGTTACAAATTGGGAACTTGAATTATAAGTACTAGTTTTCAAATTTTTTTCTATTTCGGATAAAATTCTATAAAATTATACATAATATTTAAATAAACAATTGAAATGAGATAATAAAAAAATATTATACTATAGTTACCTATCATCAGTATCATCATTAGAATGTATTTCATGATAAATTATATCTTTATTACATGTATTGATTTCATTTAAAACATTTTTCCATCTGTGTTTATAGTTGTATGTTTTTTGTGAAGTACTTTTGTCACTCTAGAAGAAATAAATAAAAGCTATTAATTAAATTGTATAAATATAAAATTTTTATTGGATCAAATAAGAATAAATTAGAATTCTAAAACTATTAATATTGAATTGATTAATAAAGTCATACTTGGTGCATAAATAAAGCAGATGAATTATTGTAGTCTGATGATTTATATTTATTTATAGTGATGTTTTCATTTTCAGCAATTACAGTTAATCTAAAAACATACATATTATTAAAAAAAAATTTTATTTGTTAAATATGAATCACATACATTATTTGTTCATTTATTTTATTTATTTTTTATTAATTATATACTGTGCTTAAGCAAAGAAAATTAAACAATAACCAAAATGTTAAAAATAAATAGGAAAATTTAAAAAAAAAAAAAGTCATAAATATCTATTAAATTCATTACTATGATTTATTACATTGCAGTAGAATAAATGATTTTTAAATATATATTCTTAATTATTTAATGTTTAAACAATATTTTAAATACCCAAGTCTTAAAATATTTTTTGTAAAAACCTAAGACCCAAAAGGACTTTCTATAATATCTATGAATAGGATCAACAATTTTATAACAAACTAAATTATTCAAGACATTTTTTTGTTTCAAAAATATTATTTTATTTTCTAAATAAGCATGCAATAAGAAAAAAAAACTATTAATAAAAATAAAAAATACATCGTTGAGTACATTGTTATTATAATTTTAGAACCATAATTATAAATTTAGAAAATTTATCTCAAAATAGTTTTTTTGAATATATATATGTAATATTAGTTTAATCAAATATTAAAACAGTAAAAAATGCACTCATTTTAAATTAATAGATTATTTCTCACAAATAATTAGTTCTTATTAAAATAATTGTTTTTTAAATCTAAAACTCCTTAATAAGTACATCTCAATTAATACTTAAATAAATAAATTTTTAATGTAAAATTAGTGAACAAACACATTTTATTTGTATGTGAATATAATATGTCATTCTAATTAATATTGCATATTATTTTTGTATGATATTTGACACAATGTTTGCATCAAGGTTTTTTAAATAATGGCAACAAGCCAATGTGAAAGAGCAATGCATATCTCAAATAAATTATAAAATTGTTCTTAAATATAAAAGTCATGACACATGAACCATATGTAAATACCAGAGTTTTATTAACTTAAATACTTTTTATATTATACATTATACTATATACAATATTAGGTAGTAGTTTTTAATGTATTATAATACTCTTTTTTTTTTTTTTTTTAAAGTATTATTTACAGGTATAAATGCATTTATAAATACTTATTATAGTCAAATTAGTATCAAATTAATTATAAATTAATAAAAATATTTTAAAGACTTTACCAGCAAAAGGATGAATGCGTTAGTACCAATAATAAATTAAGAAAATAAAAAATACACTAAGAAATTATTTCATTTTCATAAGTCTATAACATTTTTTCTGAAGATTGGAAAATTACACAAATTTATTAAGAAAATTAATAATTGAAAAATGTAATATAAAGACAAAAATCATGTCAAAAAAAATAATATTAATAATTTTAATATATATTATTGTATTCATAAAGATATTTTTAATTTAAAAGAGTAATATAAACATTTTTCAAATGGACATTGATTAAATAAAATATAAAATTAATGATGTGAAAATAAAATTGATATTGAAAACTATAATATTTTCAAAAATAAGTATAAATGCATAATTATTAAATTGCGACAGTATAAAATAAAATGGGCAAATGTAAAGTATATTTATACTTAATTAATAAATATATATATATTATTTTGGTTATAATATTGATAACATTTACTGCTTAAAATTTCTAAGTTGAGTAAATAATTTATAATAAATTTATCATTTAAGACTAAATCAAATCAATTAACAGTCTATGTTAATTTATACTAAAATATGATAAGTTAAATTTTCAAGCTTTGATTTTTTAAGTACATGTTAGTATCTTAAAATAAAGTTCAACATTGTCTATAGTTAATTGTGTTAAAACTACCAATAAAATTTTTAAAAAATATATTGGTCCATTTTTTTATCCTTATACCTAGTCATTAATATATATATATTTATTTTTCTGTTTTAAATATAAATTTTTATCCTGTTTTATTATAACATTCAAATAAATTATAAAATAAACTTTTACTGTATTTAAATGAAATAAATTAAATAACAATAACAGCTATTATGATATTATCTTAATACCCATATAATTACAAGTACATACTTAACGGAAAGTGTATAAAATAAACAGTTTGATACGAACATTAGATAAATTATTAACAAACAATCGTCATCACCCAAAGATAATTTAACGTTTGACAAACAAGAACTACATAAAAATATTAATATTAAAGATAAACGAAAACACATTATGTGTACATAAATTCTCGAGTCCTTTGCAGAAACAAACCTAATGGCTAGCTCGTACTGCTATGCCTTGCTGATGATGGCATTGACAAAACCATAGTGATCTCGTTGTGTCAATAGCGAGACACAAGGACATAATACACATATACGGTGAAGGTAAACGGGTTTAAAACCTTTGGTACTCACATCAAAACGTTGAAGGCGACGATCGCACCAAACAAACGTACAGCTGGAATGTATCTGAGTGAACGCATAGTAGTCAGCAGCATACAAGCATTGTGTTTTTTTTTAGGAGGTTGGTCGATGTGCATTGGAACAGTTTCGATTACGAAAATCTAGAGAGAGAAAAAGGAAAAACTGTAAAACCGAATAACGACTGGGAACGGAAATTGTCGATCGTTCGACGCAAAAAATCTGAGTCTAGTGTCTAACGATAAAGGGGGAAAGGGAAAGAAAAAAGGAAAATAATTGTTATAAAAAACGGAAAGTCAGTCGTGTTCGAATAGCGTGTTATCACATTGTCCCGGGACACGTTTTATTGATTACGAGAACACGGTATCGCGGCGAGACGCGGTCAACGATATTCCTCAACCGGTGAACCGTCTTCGAATCCCGTGCCACGGTAACACTGCGCCGTCGGTCTCGCACGGAAACACCTCCGCGTCCGTCGATTGTCCGCCGGCACAACGGCGACGATTATGATCACGAGAATGGGTGGGCGCGACGACTGGTCAACGGGTGGTCGGCTAGCGCGCGAACGGCGCGATTTGAAGTGGTGACGAGACGGCGTGGTCCCCCCCCCCCCCCACCGTTTACGCATCGTCGAGCGCCCACGTCAACGGTCATTCCCTGGGCCGGCTCAAGGGCGAGCTAGGCACCTGCCTAAAAGGGCACTTTAGTAGGAGCAACATTTTCAAAATCGACTCGTACATATTTTTAGTTCTATATCGGTGTTTTATTTTAGAAAAATCGTTTTAATCAATTCATTCGTGAAAACCACTCAGCTGAATAATAAAATAATATTGTCTAAAGCTATAATATCACTTTATATCACGGCCTGCGCTGGGCGTTTTCAATTATTCCGAAAATATAAATAACCACCCGCGATTTCCGATAGTCGCGATTGTGATGGGTTTTAATTATAGAAATCATTTTTAAGTCTTTTTGCATTTAATTTTATACTTTAAATGAAAAATTAAAATTTTATTTATGTATATATATGTCATATGAAAAATAGAGGAGAGCTAAGTTAAAATAAGAGCTCAATTTCTTTCTTTCTTTTTTTTTTTTAAAGGTGACAAAACTTGATTTTGCCTAATGCACTATTTTTGCTTGGGTCATTCAGTCGACTTGGCCAAGACGAGTGTTGTGTTAGTGTTGTCGTCGTTACCGTATCACGAATTTCGGTTGTTCCATAGCGTATTTGCGTGCGGAAAATTAAAAAAAAATCCCCACGCGTACCTACTCTCGATGGCGTACAAATGAAAGGGATTCCCCAAAGACAAAAAGAATAATAATCCACTTTTGAAATGGTCATAATGAAAAATATGCAAATCATGCACCGCATATGACATCTATAACAATAAATGTCAATTATGATGAGATCACAAAACCATTAATTTTTTCACCGAGCAGAAACGAAAACAGTTAGAAATTTAATATTGGTATAAAAACTATGTTTACAATTTATTCCCCCTTCTCCCATGAGGAAATTGAATGTACGCCACTGCGTACTCGGAACAATACCTTTTGCTACCAACTTTTCCGAAGTGACGAAGCGTCATAGGAGACAATGAGACAATGTCTACCCACTTTTAATACGGATACATAATTTGGTTTTATTATATTTTATTTATTTTTATATAATATATACTTCAATATTCATCATAATTTTACTTTTGTGCCATACCGTATTAGTATTCTTAAAATAAATAAGTTGCGGACCGTGCACGCGAGCTGTCGTCCGTTGTGGCGTAGTGGTTAATTCTATAAACATCCAAATCAGATATAAAAATTAATATTATGAGACGACGCATTGCAGCGTCTCGTTTTTTCAAGGCGCAGTGTGCAGGGGGAATAGATAATTGAGTGGGGATTATCATTGCGCTATGAGACATATCTCGCATTCGTATTTATTTTTTCTTTTTAATATACATTATCGTCATTGCTTTTCGCGTTGATGCGTTATCGTTCAACGCAATTTTGTTATCATAGTTATTGGTTAGTTTTTATTTTACGATTTATTTATTTCTGCTGTGATATTCGTATCTAAATATTAAAATATTGTACTATTGTCATTCGCCATTATGCCTGATGATTTAATTAATGAAATGTTGAATGATGGAATAGTAAACTACTCATACGAAAAAAAATATGAAATAAATAAAAGACCGTATCCCTTTTATCATAAATACATATAAAGTTATAAATGGGGAGGGTAGGGGGCTGTAACGTATTATTTTAATGTCTCCCCAACTTAAATACTCGTACTTCGCCACTGTTTTTCCGTATGCTCAACGCGGATAGTCCTTCTCAGAATTGTAAGCGTCCGCGTTCAGGGAACTCTCTTAAGATCTTTTTGATGATATTTCCGGAAAAACTCCACGCTTGGTGGAAATTGCGTGAAATTCAAGTATTTTCATTTCGGGTTTTAGAAATGTTATTCGAAAATCATATACAATGGCATAGATGTTAAAATCCCGCGTTATTGAAACCTAGTTCATATGAAACTTAGTGTATATGAGTGACCTCATATATCTCATCTTGAAATACCTCAGTAAATATTACTTATATTCGTTTATTACATGTAAGAAGCAGGTGTCCTTACAATAGACGTATTGATTATTGACTATTGGTGACAAACGTTGTTAATTCCTTTATTGGATGCATAGATAAAATAGGTAAGTAGTTAGTACATACCTACATACATACACACATACATATAGACATACATACAAGGTCACCCGCAAGGAGGGGCAGGGAAGGGAACAACTCCCCCCTAGCTTTCCAGCTATATAAAATAATTATATCTAAATTAAATATCCCAAAATTTCAAAAATCATAATTAATAACGTTCAACAATGTGTGAGAATCATTTATCCGGATTATGTATGTTAAGTTTACACAGAAAAAAATCGTAGAACTTCATTTAGCTGAAAAAATTGTTGATGAATTTGGAAAAAATAAAATAAAATTTCAATTTGTGTTCAATTAGTTAATAAAATTGCTTAATTAGTATACAAGTGTTTGATTATTAATAAAAATTAATGCTGTCCTCCTCTGAATTTTCATCTGTGGGTGCCCTTGCATACATACGTAGGTATACGAGTATACCCAGTGGCGTAGTTATGGGGTGGTAAGGGGTTTCCACCCCCCCAGATTTTTTTTTAATGATATTTAATTATTTATTAATATTTACGTACACATATTAAAGTATAATTATATTTTCATTTTACTATTATTAGGTATACATTAAAAATTGTGTAGCAAAATAATTTTCATTAAATACGGGACATAATAATAATAACAATTTAAATGATATATTATTACATAGGACCTCTTATTAAGATATACTAAGAATATTATAAATTGACTCTTAAACACCCCCCACCCCCAGAAAAAAATTGTATCTACACCACTGAGTATAACTATATATATGTATTGCAATGGTATACAGAATCATACTGCATGATCATTAGTAGGTATTTAAAATTACATAGTAATTGAATTTTAAATAATTAAACCTTGTAGGGACTAATTAAAAAAAAAATTTGACAGTCAATATTAAGCGTTAAAAGATTTAAATTATTTATATCGAGATAGTATGATTGTAATACGTAGTTTAATTTAATCATGCATAACAATTAAAATATTATTTATTTAAAAATGTTACTGTATATTATATTATAGCAATAAATTTATATTATAATCATATTTATCATTTTAAGTAAATGCTATAGTATACTAATATCGGGTTAGTTAAATATGATTACCAATAATAGTTACCCAACCGCTACTACAAACCGACTGTTTTACAATGTACCACATTATGATTATCAGAATAACAATGTAAACATCTACTTAGAAAAATATATCATTATATAATATGTATTATATTAAATTACAATCGCATAATAATTGGTACGAAAGGTCATACATTATTAATGCGTTATCGATCGTATCGGTCATATCGAATTATATCTTCAGCTTGTTTTGTTTAATATTTTCACCCAGTGATCGAGTTGGGAAAAATTAAGTAGTGGAGCTCAGTCAGATTTAAAAACTGCGTTTCACGGGTGCAATTTTTCAACACAGACCCTAGGGGGGCTTCGCCCCCACAACCTTACAAACCTTCACCAACCTTACATATATTTCAAATACCACTATTCAGCTACACAAATATTTAAATTCCAATTATTAATATCAATAATATTAATACTAAACCATACAATGAATAAAATATATACCAAATTATAACTATATATATACTAGACATTACTATTTATATTTTTTCTGAAATAGCAATGCCGTCGCTTATCATAACCACCATATAATCTTTTATTATGAAAATATATTTTCTCATGTACCTATACAGGTACTAATCGTAAATAGAAATATATTTACCCAGGGGCGCCGAAAAATAAAAATATATGTAGGGCAAATCATAATTGACAACCCACCCACCCACCTTACCTAAATACCTATTTAAGTTAATTATCTTAATTTCATTCAACAAAGCAGTTATAATATAGATATGTCCTCGATAATTTCATAAACTGTGTTATACGTATTACAAACAAAAATCCATAATTATGGTACCCATTTAAGGGGGTTGGAAGTGCTTATTTAATAAGGGGTAAAATTTAGGCAATTTGTAATCACGTCGTCACCGCCCGATGTATTTGTGTTAGTCGTAAATGATTATTAGTGTGAGTGCGGTTCATAACCTGTACCGCCACCTTCCTCTTTGTCTAAGTCACATCATTATCACAATGTTATTTATAGTTTTATTTCCATTTTATAATAATAGTGTGTATCCGCTATCGCATTGAACTATTATATTTCGTTGTAGGTACATAATACGTAATACATTTATACCTATTATACGTGTCATTGCTGCGGTCGCGCATTTTTACAAAAGTGGCTGTTGTTATAAAAAAAAAAATAGACTAGCCGACTATTATAATAATTAATAACCAATAAATATTAAATAATACTAAATACTACAAGGAAATGATATTAATATAATTCATTGTTTTATGAAACATTAACTTAAAAAAAATTATAAATACATTTGAAATAAACAAATAAGTGTAATAAAATTAAAAATATAAAAGATTAAAAAATGAGTAGGAACGTCGTAAGTTTGTTATGTTTTTAAATATTGTGGATTACATATTTCTGGCAACATATGGTCCAGGTAGAATTCTGACAACGTCATCTCCATCTTATTATTCCAGATATCATCATCACGTTCAATTTTATGTACACAAATCTCTATAACAATAATTACAAAATCTTACAATAATGAAATAATAATTATTAGTACCTACAGTAAAATGTTTACCTTTTGGTGTCCATACAACAAAGTAGCAATATTTTCTGTTTGTTATATGCAACTGCCCTTGTACTTGGTAGTAGTAAGAATGGTTTTTTTTTAAAAATAGTTTACCCGATTGCATATCCATAAACTTTAACTTTTTTGCTTTGTGTGCATCTTGGGGAGTAAAATTTTTTATAGAAAATGGACATTTTATCTCTATTATTGAATCATCCTCAATAAGCCCATCTGGTGTTGCTGCCAAAAATGGCAGATGAGGGTCAACAAACAATCCAGCTGGGGCTACTTTGTATCCGAATAGCTTCTCAAATTCGTTCTTTGCAATAGATTCAAATTGAATCCCATATCTAATTTAAACAAAAATGTTAAATTATTAATTTAAGTTATTTTGCCTGGTAAATTCAAAATTGTGAACTTTGGTTTTCGTTGAAATTTACAGTCCCTACCGTAAAAATTGTATTATTGACAACAAAATAAGGAAATAAAATAATATTAGTTTTACTAATTATTTACCATTAAAAATTACCTTGTAGCAGCAGTACCATGAAAATATTCTGATTGGTATAAAACTGAGATTACACTATTTTTCCTGGAAGTGGTTTTTCGTAATTTACAAATTTTCCCAAAATTGGACGCAGTTAACCTTTTGGACCTCTCTTTTTTCCATTTCACACAATTCGCCTGTTCAACTGTTCGACGCTGTAATTCGTCAATTTCAACCATATTTAATTTCAAATTTGTCAACAACTCTAATTTTTTTTCTTCAAAATCTTCACGCGACATAGGTAACGTCTGACAACCTAATTCATTTAACGCCATTTGTGTATCGCTTCTATATGTCCTTTATGTTTTTTTAATTTGGACAATCTAACTTTTTTTTTTTCTTGTTACTAGATCGTTTTCCATTGTACAAATCAATTAAAAAATGTTTATTTGAAAAGAAAACGCTATTCAATTAAATAATTTTATAAGTAAAAAAACTTATTTTATTTTTTAATTGTTTATTCATTAGCTCACCGCACAGAAAAAGAATGAACAGAGTGAACCGTGTTCATAGAATAGCCGGTGACCGTCGATAACGATGTTTCGTAATCGTATTGATATAAATAGTTTGTGGCGAGAGGGAACCACATCCGCACGCACACGAGCAAGTCACCAAATGTCGCGCACGGCGTCGCTTACGAACGGAGATTATTTGTTGAAAGCATGTACTTTTTGTCCACTGTACCGATGTAACTACTTTTGCGATAAGAAATCTGAAAACATATTTTTATTCGTTATGAAGTTTATTTGTGATCGATCATCCCATTTTTTTGATTTTTTTTTTTAATTCGGTTTATTCACTATTTAAAAATTCAAAAATTGTTAGTTTTTAAATCAAATGTAAGGAGGGGGGGGATAAGAGCCAAAATTTAAAAAAATGCGATGATCGATCACAAATAAACTTCATAACGAATAAAAATATGTTTTCAGATTTCTTATCGCAAAAGTAGTTACATCGGTACAATGGACAAAAGTTGGCATGTTTTCGTCAAAAAAAACGATCGGTTTTGAATCCCCTTAAGAATCATACAAATAAACTATTACTAATAAGAAATATATAGTACTTATATGAAATCTACAGAGGTATAAAGGTTAGGTTATAAACATTTTTTACCTACCATTTTTATTAAAAGAATTACCACTATCTTGATCAATTTGTTTTGCGATTTGACTAAATGTATTACGCACAACAGAGTCAAAAACAAAAAATGTGTATTTAAATGTTATCTTTATTTTAATTATTATTTAATGCCAACAAAATTCTATTTAACATTCCTACTTGACAAAATACAATTTTATAATTTTTTTTTTTTAATTTTCTGTTAATTATGCAATAAATTTCAAATTTTGTAAACATTTGTAAAAATATGCAATAATTATTAAATATTTATCAAAGTGTAAGACTTTCCATCTGGAGTTGGATAAGGATAACGAATTGTATCGGTATCCATACATAATTTCTTCGGTTTCGGTGTATTAAAAAAGGAAGTAATGCTTCGAGAAGTAATTTTTGTTTTACGTTGCTTAATTGTCCAGGTGTCTTTTCCAATTCGTAACATTCAGGTTTTCTCGCTTTTTACCGCATACACAGATCAATTTTTCAGATTCCGACATAATAAATTTTTAAAAACGCGTAATAATTATAAAAATAAATAATTATGTATAATGTAGAATCAACACTATAATAATTAAATGATCCACAGTTTACACAAGAGCTAAATAAATATATGGTAACACAGCACACGACTGACGGACTGAATGAAGAATTATGTATTTATGTGAAAATTAATGATGAATTCATCGTATGAAGATAAAATAATAATTATATATAATAATATATTATACTTTTATTCTTTTATAATAAAACCATAAAATCTAAAAATATTTTGATATTATACTGGCATACTACTACTTTATGGGTATTCCATGTGATTACGATATTCCGCGATAATTTTAGATTTTTTGTTACAATTATTGTACTAATCATCATTACATGTGTTGACGTATTTCCTGTTGCTATTTATTCGATATTTCATGAAAAATATCCAGTATTCACTAAATACAAACTGTATATGACGTTTAACAGTTTACGCAGTACAAAATAATTCAATTCAACGGCCCAATGCTATACGAGTTACGAATATTGTAAATCATTACATAGGTATAAGTTATTAAAATAGCTATACTATTGTTATACCTGTAATATTTTAAACTATTCTTATACTATTGTATTAGTTATCCAATTATAATATGTATTATATAGTGTATTACGTATAATAATTGTTATACTTTACAGAGGTACCTAATATATTTCTTATATATCTTTCTTACAATTAACATCTATTAGGCATCAGCTACTGCCCGCTCGGCACCCACCCACCCACCTACCCATTTCAATATGTAAGGCAGTCGCCCTACATCCATTTAGATCTCGGCGCCCTTCACATTCGAATTCATTTTCAACCAATTATATATTTTGCATGTTGCTAAGCACGGGTCGTCAGGTCTGCATAGGACGGTTCTATCTATAATAGGGTGACCATATTCATGAAAAAAAAACGAGACAAATGTTGTCTAAAAAAAAAAAAAAACCACATATTTTTAACTTCTATATTATATGCAATAAAAATAATTTTTAATTAGTTTTAATTAGTTTAATATTCTTATAAAACATTGATTTGCATTCTTCTTTTGCTGTGAGATTGAAAAAAATTACTTAAAATGTTCTTTATTTTTATCGAGTTGAAGTCGATTGCTCATAATTTTCTTTATTACCTCTTTTGACATTATATTTTTTTGATGAGCTGATTTCATTTAAAATTTTTGGTTGTGTTTATAAAAAATCATAAAAGTTATTACAGGAATATTTTTAAGAATTATTATATGTTATGCAAAAATATTAAATATATAAATATTTAATATCGTAACACTGTACGAATAATTTTTATAGGTTTTCTAGAAACTGATTCCTCTGCTCGTCGCTTACAATTTTCTCCGAGTACTTGTTTTTCTATTTTATCAAGAGTGTCAGCCGTATGATGATGTTCACCTTTTGAGTTAAGAACCATTTTTTTTCTGAATTTGAAAAAATAAACGCTGTGCAACTTTTGGCAGAAGAACAGCGCCACTTTAAAAGTTGATCGCATTAGCGAACACCGGCAAATCGATGTTTATAGCCATTAACAACAGCTAGTTCCTTATTCTTCTCTGACACATTAATACGAATTTCGGAATTATTCATTTTAAATTATAAACACACACATGATTTATAAGTCAATAGTAAAACACAATAATGCAATCACAATTCACGTACGAACGGGTATCGAACAGGTAACTGATGATTCCAGATAAAACATATGTAATACACTGCAGATTATTTAGATAAGCTAGTATTTGGGGCAAAACCAAAATAATGTACATATGACATATATGTAATATTAATATCAACCATTTTTATGTCTAAAATAATGTTTAAAATACATTTGGCAACGTTGCAAATTGGTTTTGTGCGGAATCGTGTGAATGAAAAGGTATATGCGGAATCGTGAATTACCGAACAATATGCAACTTGTAATATGCATACGCTCCTCAGTGCAAGTGACTAACATAATAACATATTTTTTTAATTCATAATGTTCATAGTCTTCACTAGGTGTGGGATTTCGGTGCAAATGCATCTTGCGTTTTAATGTCCCAAGACATATGCTCATAAGAAAAAAAAATGGGTTTCAAGTGATACAGATTAATTTAATGTAGTTTTTTTTTGCTTTTTATGACATATTTTATTTTATATGCATTTTTAAGCTATATGTTGATGTTTTAAGGTATTTTTCAAATTTTTAGACCATTTTTCAGAATTTATCGATAAATTCTTAAATATTAGGGTATTTGATTATCCGTTTAGGCTTGTATGTAATCTACTAAATCGATGAATTAATAAATACAAGTATTTCAATCTATGTACCTGTTTTATTGAAAATAGAACAAAATTAATATAGTCGACAATTTGTTTTTTTATTTACAAGAGCCCAATAACAATTACAACAGCAAGTTATGAAATAAATTAAATTTAAATATAGTTAAAATGTAAAAATTAAACAAATAAGTATATTTTCTTAAATAAATATAATTAAATATGTTTGGTAACATGATTTTTATAATTTCATTTTTAAACTACAATAAAAAAATTTTTTTTTTACTCATTTTTATGATTGTTAAAGCATTTTTGTTTTTTTTTTAACATTAAAATACCACCCCTAATGATCACCATCATTAAAAATAGTTTTAGAAAAAACACTTTTCTTAACAACATTTTTTTTCTAACATATTTTAATCGTATTTTGAATAATTCATTTTTTTCAAGGTACATAAGGCAGGATAACTACATTTGAAATTAATCATCCATTCATTTCAGAGGTGGGGTGAACCCCTAAAACCCCTCCCTGCGTCCGCCATAGACAAAAATATATTTAAACAATTTGGGTTTCATAAGATTGGTTTGATTAAGTTTTAGAAATATTAAAATCCATCAACTATCTTATTTAAGTTTTTTAATTATATATTAGTAAATATATATGAAAAGAATACATTTATTCATTTATAGTAAATAAAGACTGTAAGTAGGTATCTTTAAAATTAAATCCTAAATATAAATTTTAATTTTCAAATTTGTAGATTTTGGTTGTGAATTAGTTTATAATAACATTCTTAGTTATTAATTTATTTTCAAAATAATTATTAACATAGGATTACAAACATGCACAGGTTACTTTTAAAGACATTTATTGTAGGTATTTCAAATTTTACAATATTTATTATATCAAAAATTATAATTTAAATTCAGATATTTTTGTATAAAATAAAATCATTTTCAGCCATTTTTTTTTTTTACAACATTAGCAGAAAAAATAATTGTTTACTATCTTATTTAATGTTTCATAAAATTTAAGTAACAGGTATATGAAAATATTGATTGAAAATTTTTTAAAATTCACTTCTCATTGCCATTATTCATCATTATAAAATATAAAATATCTACCTATTCATAGTTAAGAACTTGGCGACTTAGCATACTTACTTTAAAATGTTTTATAATGTCACTGTTTTGTAAATTATATCAGATTATGAGGTTTATTTAAAATTCAGAACTTGTTTTAAAATTAATTTAAATATATGATACTAGGAATAATTATAACAATGATTAAATAATTAAATTTAAAAATTCCAAAATTAGGAAAACCTTTTTTTTTTTTTAAATTTCCAATAGTTTTCATAATAATTTTAAGCTTTCATTTGAAAAAAATTTTTATTTGATTTATTTAATACTGGTATTTTTTATTTAAATTAGGTTATTTTATTTTCATATTATTAAAATCCATTGAAGTATATTCTCATCCATGTTCATCTACTTAACATTACCTGAAAAAAAAGAAATATACAAAAATGTTTTAATAATGAAATATATATAATTTCAGTATATCTATGTTATAGATATACTAACATATATCTATGTTAGTTATTAAATAATCATATAATAATAAAGGTCTATGTAAGAATATTCATAAAACTTCAAAATATCAATAATTTTTACAAAAAATTTTAAGTTATCAGAAATAGCCAGTTACAAAGTAAATATTCATGTTTTGACTCAAGGTCAAATTCATTATTAAATTATTAAATAGGTACGTATAGTTATTATGGTAATTAAAATACCACTTAATTATATAATCTAGTAATAGGCAATTCCATAAATCTCTGTTTTTTAATCGGCTTGATTTTCTTTGCTATTATTATTTTACAAATCAATTTTTTTATGCAAAAAATTATATTTATAACATTAAGTAAAATTAATGAAATTAGTAAGTCATATATTTCATTATTTGAATAGACACATTGAGAAAAAATAATAGAATTCTATTTTAGATGAATAATTTGGTTTGGGTTGTAAAGGTTCAATGTCGGAAAATAATAATTCATTTGAATACAAAACACATTATATAATATAATATAATATACATTTATTTTGGTGACACTTAAAATAAGATGGTTTTAAAAATTGTTGTTTCTATAAAAATCTAACAGAATGAAAATACAATAAAAAAAAAAATAAAAATACTAAGTAATAATTAAATATTCATCTTTTTATGTGAAGTAGATACCTATTATTTGTTTTTTAATAATAAACACCTTATCATGTTTACATTCTAGACAAATTTTCCTAACAGATTTAAAAAATAGTTCATGAATTCATTTTAATTTATTTTGGTTTCGTTTTTTGAGAAACATGAAAAACTATCTGAAACACAAGATAATAATCAAAAAATTTATTTAGTTGGTTATATTATGTCGACTGCCACTTATTATGCTGAAAAAGAAATTTGTTGGAAATTTTCTCGAATGATTTAACATCAACGATTGATAGCTTATTAGTAGCAGAACATGTATTGTAGATGTATTACTTTTTAATAGGTACTTAGTGTTAAATTTAATTCTATCAAATACTAAAAGTTTGAAAACTTTGATCATAAAAGCCAATAGGTAATAGTATACTAATAATTAAATATCATATTCAGAATTGTAAAGAAACTAATTATCCGAAACCAAAGCCTTGAATATTGAAATAAGTGCTCATTTTTAAGTAGGTACTTAATAAAAGTATTTTCCATCAAGTAAAGCAAGTAAAAAGGTGTATAATCCATATACTTATTTGCTAGTCAAATTCAAAAATTAATAGTGCTTTGTTCTGAATACGAAATCCTTGTGAAAGAGAAAAAAAACGTTTGATTTTTCACCTTTAGTTCCTACAGCAGTTTTGTGTGTACCTCAGTCTATTCAAGATTGCTCTGTTATATTAATATTTAAACTAATAATGAGCACCGAATTAAACTGGCACTGATGAATGCAAAAGAGTAAATACTAAAATACTGTAAGACCGATTGTGCTCGAGTAAACCTCGTCAAATTCCAATCTGTTAATAGGACGTCATACCCCCGCATATGTTGTCTCCATCTGACATATGTGTAATATATCAAATTTGTGTTCAGTGATTCAAATGTAGTGATGTTAGCTAGGGAAGAACATTATATGTGTTTTGTTGGTCGGTTTTTTCGATATTTTAATTTTTAAGCGTGTTATGAGTATGTAAAATATAATAATAAAAAAAAACATCATAACTCACTAAAAAATTAAAATATCGGAAAAAAACCAATCAACAAAACACAGATAATGTTCATCCCTTTAAGTTTGATTATTGGTAAGTTTTCTCTAATATTAAAGTTAACTTCACTTTATTTGGAACTACTGAACGCAAACTTACTATGTTGTACGTATATCGGACGGAGACAATACATGCGGGTGTGGCGTTCTCTTAATAGATTACCTGAATCGCCGTACAAAAATGAAGTCGTTTGAGGATTAGACAAATATGATAAGATAAGCGACCATTTCATCCAACTCGGTTATCACCTTATCAGCAGCTGAACTGTTGACTTTTCTTGCCACTGTTTTTTTTTTTTTCTTCAAGTACCTACTTCATTTTTATTTGCTTCGTTTTTCTGTCATTTACTCTTTCGACCATCTACTCGACTCTCATTTAATGCATCAAAATTTAGTGCATGCCGTCCAACACCAATATTAATCATTTACGATGGCCGAGTCACTAGGTAATATATACGAAAATATTTCCTTTGGTTGTCTGACCAAAGTGGAATAAATGATTTAACTATTAAATATTTGTTTTTTTTTTTTATCAATTTTCATTAAAAAATTTAAAAAAAAACTAGATAGATTTTTGTATTTTGTTCATTACGTTTAGTTGTACTAAATTTTGGGCGTGCTCAAAATTTATACATTTTTAGTTTATTATACTTTTTATATTTTGTTGACCATATAGGTAGATATACCAAATTCACACAATGCAAATGTGGTTTGAACAGGACAATCTGAGCATCATTAATTTAAAACAAGTCAAACATTTTCATAAGAAAATTAAGTATTTCAAAGTAAGACACAAAATGTCTTTTCTGAAAACATTCAACGTTGAAGCTGAAACAACAGAGGGGCAATGTATTTGTGTAACTGGTAACTGTAAAGCATTAGGCAATTGGGAAGTGAATTCAGCTGTTATTCTTTCTAATTCACATGTAACGCGTATTAGAAACAAGTAAGCTCATCACTATATTAAAATAATTATACTACGATATTCAGCTGCATATAAATATGTAAGTTGAACCTAATGTGAAGCATTTATATCATGTTTGTTAATGCCATGTATACACTTGCGATCTGCTTGCAAACCAGCAATTAATTTATACTGAATTATTGGTTGTAGTGTTAGTGTCTTCTAAAATTTTTTCAGATGATTATATTATAAGCTTATCTTTTCCCATGGTTTGACTAATTTTTTTGTTCTCTCCCTCCGGAAAGAAGTCAACTATCAAACAATCTTTTTACAGTCATCGACAGACTTCACTACTTCAATAGCTCCCTTCCTGCATTATATTTTAAATGTTTTTTAAAATTATCATTATGCTTCAGATCCCATAACAAAGATTTATTGTTGTAACTGTTAATTAGCAAAATAGTTTCTTTCTCTGACTACTATAAAATAATACAAAAGTAATAAATCAAATAGAAAATTTAAATAAATAAAATTTATAAATTTGATGCTTAAAAAAATATTCGACAATGCGCCATCTCAATTTACAGTATGTTCTCATTGTGGTCATCAAAAAAAAAAAAAAAACCAACTCTCGATGGATCTATGTGAGCGGTTCACAAACAGCTTGTTAGACGTTAGACACGCCATCCCTATTATTGTCATTATCAGTTTGTGTTAGGTTTGAGTCGCACTTGTGTATGCAGTTTTAAATAGATTTAACTATTCCTTAGAATAATTATAACACAAATTATACATTTATCCAAGTGAGTAATGATAAGGTATTAAATGTGTTTTATCTCATCATGCTCAGTGTTCTAGAACTAATTAAAGAAATAAATACTTACTTGGAAATAGAATATTTTTTGCTCTATATTTTGATTTTATTATTTAATATTTTGTAACAAATTTAGTGTTTACTAATGTTATTTATTATCTATTAATAATAATGTTATATTTGAATGCCTGGTTCTTGATATTTTGATTAAAAACTTTATTTATTTAATTCAATAATTTTTACTTTATATGTATATTTATGAATATGCTTATTAATTAATAAATATTATTTTAGTAAAACTTACCACGTATGGTGTGCATCTATAAATTTGCCTTCAGATAGAGAAATTGTTTATCGTTACTTTAATGCATATGTTTTTAAATCTGATGAAGACTATGGGCATAAAAGACATATGTTTGTTAATTCCTGGGAATCACATTATGAACCTAGAGTTGTAAAATCTATTGATGGTATATTAATTTTTTTATTAAATATTCTAAAAATATAAAATATAAATGATGATATTTTCCTTAGAGAGTAAAATGTCAAGCAGTGATAATAAATCCCAATGTGATATTTATGGTTTGTCTTTATCTGATAAGCAACAAATTAGCAAAGGATTTTTAACTACCGAAAGTGCTATACAATTTAAGTTGTATGATAATCCAATTGAATTTTGGAATTCTAAATTACACAACAATAAAGTATGTTAATCTAAAATACTCTTTGGTTAATTGAAAACCTAGATTGTTATTAATTTTTTATTTTATTTTTTTAGGATAAGATTAGTGTAAAAATGACACCAATACGTTTATCTAAACAATCACAGCACTCTGGAGATACTTCTGATTTTTCAATTGATGAATTGAGTTCACAAGGATTTGATGATGTTGAAAAACATAGCGGATGGCCATTTGTAGAATGTGTAGTAGGTATTCCAAGTATTTATTATTTTTTACTTGTGTTGGAATTTTTTTAAAATATTGGAAACAAGATCTCATATTGTGTTGAAAAAAAAAAAATATTTTCTTATAATATACCTATTACATACATGAATTATTTTAAATATATTATATATCCAAAAAATGATTACTTATTTAAATATTTTATGTAATAAAATAAATAACATTTATTGCAATTTAATTATTTTAGAGTATTCCTGATGATAAATGTTATCAGCTTCAAAATCAGTTTGGTATTTTAATCAAAAAGAATACCTTTCATATAATTCAAACCAAAATTTTTAATATAGATCAATTTGTAAGTTTATATTGTTTTCAATTTGTAGTACATTTTATTTTATAATGTTTAATGGTTATATGTTAATGTATAATTGCATTTATAGGGATACCTTTTTGATATCTATCTTCATAAAGGAACTTCCGAAGAACCTCCCTATCATGTTGGATTCACTCACATTCTGCCTAGCAGTATGAAGTATAGTGATGGAATAATAATGTCTCCTATAACCAGTGTTCGTCACAAGCCAATAGGAGAACTTAAAAGTGAATAAGTTTAATTCATTTTTAATTTCTACAAAATTTTATATTTAATTCTTTATATTTAATTATAGTTGAGTATTTGATTATAAAACCAGCCAAGGATATTCACTGCAATTTCGATAAAATACCCGATTGGGATAGTCCTTATATACCATTGGATATTGGTCACAGGGGATCAGGATCGACATTTCGACATCTTGTTTCAGAGTCAGTTAAGATTAAATAATATGATTTAGTTTTTAAATAAAATAAAATTTCGATTGTTGGTACTTAACAGATTATACAAGTAATAGGTATGATATAAGTATGATTATTAAGCTGTATATTGGATTAAAAAGTAATTATTTTTATTAGATTTATTCATATTAATCTTTCAGTTATGAAAGATTCTATATATTTTTATAATATAAAATTAATGACTGGAACTTATTGAACTTATTGAATATTTACTTATTTAAAATATGCACATTCATAATCATCATAAAAAAACTTGATAAAGTTAAATTTTTTTTTTTACAATATAATTTATAACGATATAAATACATTTTTTTACTACAGCATAAATATTGATAGTCAATAAAAAGCAATAACTCATTTTTGCTAATGATAACAATTGTTTTATCTTCCAATAAGCAGTCTATTTTTTAAGTGTTTGATATTTACCTAATTGTAGTAATTAGTTTTTATAAAATAATAATGAAATAAATAAGAATTAGCAAAATAGTAATTTTATTGTATACAGTCAAATTTGAATAATGTTAATAAAAATTTGCCCATCTATAATATTTTTTTAATTCCTATTGGTGCACATTAAAACGTTAGTCTAAAATTAATATAAATAAGGGTATTATTTTTCTTTTTTTTAATAAATTTTATTTAAAAAATATTACACTTATTCAATTTTTATGGAAACCTTGTTAACATAAAATATCAAAAAATATATTGAACCCAGATAAATAAACTATGAATAAATTAATAACAAAAATAAATTAAACTTATAATATATTACCTAATTCAAATAAATATATATATAGTATGGTTCAGTTGCCATATAAAAGCATTTTATATTGTATTGTTATAATTATTTAAACATTAATATTGAACTACAATTTTTTTGTAATTTATGCTTTTTCAAATATTTTGAATTTAATTGAATTTATTTATACATGTTAGTCCTATGTCTGTTATAAGTGGCGCAACTAGAGATGGGGTTTGGGGGTTGTAACCCCCTAAACCAAAATTTTTCTGAGATTTTAAAAATTATATGTAAAAAAAAAAATGGTTTATCTTGAACACACGAAACAACTGATTGGTATTAAATATGAATATTATTCGTATTATAATTGATAACAATAATTATATGATGGTATGTAATGTATTGTAACATTCCGTTCAACTTTAAAACATAAATAACCTTTCTACTACGATTTCTCGATAGTCGATTGTTTATAACTTTTTTTGTAATTTCACAATATGAAATAAAAGTTAATATTATAATTTGTAATTTAAATATTTAACTCATAAACCTAACTTAATCTTACTCCCTTATCTTTATTTCTGGTTGCGCCATTGTCTGTTATAGTAATGTTATATAATAATCATTAAAATTAGTAATTTTTTATGTATATATATATATATATATATATATATAATTTTTAGTTGTTCTCATGTTCGTGAAAATACAATAGCTTCATTAAACAAAGCTGCAACAAATGGAGCTGATTTTGTTGAATGCGATGTTCAACTTACAAAAGATTTAGTACCCATTATTTACCATGACTTTGAAGTATCAATGGCAATTAAATCAAAAACTGATATTTGTAACGAAACCATTGAAATGATTCAAATTCCACTAAAAAGTTTTTACTATGCGCAGTTACAAAAATTAAAGGTTATTCTTACGAATATAACTAATTATGCATTATAGCAGTGGTTCTCAAACTGTGGTAAGCATATCCCTTGGGGGTACTCGAGATTTTTTAAGGGGTACAAGTCTGGCCAACAATCCTTTGAATTTAAATTATTTATGTGGAAAAGGTTATTCAAGTTTAAAAGTAAATAAAGAAATAAATTAAATGTTGAAGATGATTTAAAATTGTACTGAACTAAATTAGAACCCAATATTGTTCAATTGTGCTAAAAAATACAAGCTAACACTTCTCACTCATTTTTTTTTGAAAGAAAGCTATTTTTGTTTTTAATATTTTTTGTGTATTATTTTATGTTTTTAATTTTTTTTATATTTATTTTAGTTTTTCTAACTAAAAAGGGGTACCCAAAAAAGTTTATTGATAAAAAGGGGTACAGTGTTTATAAAAGTTTGAGGATCCCTGCATTATAGTATTATTGTATTAACTATAATTATTTTTATTTTCCGGTGCAAAAAAATTTATTAATTGTTTATATTTTTTTTTTTTAGATTTTTTTTTAGACTATTATATTAATTTTCTCAAAAACAAACTTTTATTTCAATAGTAAATTGTGTATATAATTATAAATTAATTAACTTTATGTTTTAATTAAATATTTTCAATCAAAATATTATTACATTGAATACATATTTTTATATTAGTGTACTTAAAATATCAATTATAATTGTAATATTTATGTATTTCATTGTAATAATACTAATTTAATTTTGTTACATTTTATCTATTTAAATTTTATAACATTAAATTAATGTTATTGTGACTAGAATATAAAGCAACTAATTTGGATGTTTAATATTTATTACACATTATTATATTTGAAACAAGAAGTCATATTTTTTTTAATAATATTTTTTAAATACTAGAAAATAATAGTTTGCTATATAATTTAGTCAAGACCAATTATTTATTTTTCTACTGTCGGATAGAAGATTAAATGATATTTTTAAAATTGTATAAAAATAACTTTTCTCTTCAATAATCATTTTTTTACTATTTTACAGATTTATCATAATAAAGAGCCTTATAGTCTATCTGAAGACCATTTCTTAAATGATCCAAGAAGTGAATATCAACCTTTTCCGAAACTCGAAAGAGTTTTTAAAGATCTACATATTAATACAGGAATAAATATTGAATTGAAATGGACAATGAAATTACAGGTGTTTATGTAACTTTAGTACTTATGTATGATGTTTATTAATATAATAATACATATAATATGTATAACCATTGTAATATAAATAATTACAATTATCAAAAAAAAAAAAAAATGTGAAATAAAATATAAATATGTTCATATAATCATCTCCCCCTCTTTATAGTTAAATAATAAATGTTCCACTAGATAAAATAGTGTCAATGAAAGTAAATAAAAGTCTAATTATTTTATAAACCATAACAATAATATATATTTGTGTTTATTTTAATTGATAAATATTATTTTTCTATTCAAATATTTAAAATAAGTAATTTTATTTCTAGGATGGAACTTTTGAACTTGATAATCCATTTGATATGAATTTATTTGTGGATACTATACTTCGAACTGTATTTGAATTTGCAGAATCGAGGTCTATTGTGTTTTCTTGTTTTCATCCTGATGTTTGCACAATGTAAGTATTAGTCAATTTTTACTCTAAAATGTAATTCTTTATTGTATATTTTATTTTATTAATGTTATTTAATTTAATTTAAAAATGTATATTTCAATAATGCATTTAAAAATGATTATGCCATTTGGTTTTAATATTAAAAAAAAAAAATACTTTTATCAATTTATTTTAAATTTTTTTAAATAAAAAATGAAAGTTTAGTTTATTACAACATTTAGGTTTATTCTTATTTTGTATAAAATTTTTCCCTAACCTTTGATAGAAAAATTGTGATTTTATTCAGAATTTTGAACTTGTATGTGTTTACAAATTCTAATTTGAATCTATATCCCATGACTTATTCTTTAATTCAATTTTTTTAATAATAACTTATAAAATATGACCAAATTATTTTATTTAATTAAAACTATTAAATATTTTGAGAGATGTTTCCGTGTGTTAAACAATAGTTTTCTTAGTTAAATATTACAAAAATAATCAGCAAACAATTTTTTTCATTTTTATTTGTGTTATAAATATTCTAAATTTAGTCATTAAGTTTAAGTTCTGTTTCCTCTAAATAGTTATGTTAAAACTATTACATTCATTTTGTGAACTAAATATTTTATGCTTATTTATTTTCTAACAGACCAATCTTTGTATATTATGTGCTTGTAGTAAGTCAGTAGAAATTATAAAAAGTAAACTGAATATTTAAACTGTATATTCAAATGTGCATAAAAAAATAAAACGATTTTGATTTTTTTCAAATGTCACTTTTTATATATTCTAAATTAACATCCTCAAAAATAAAATAACACTTTAAATTTTTTATCAAAAATGTTATTATAAGTGTAATATTAAACTAAGAACTAAAAATAAAACACAAGTAATGCGCTGAAATATTATTTCTGAAACCTTACTGAAACTCACTAAAAATTAATTTATACCTAATAATTTTTTTCTAACTTGTTATTATTATAACATTAAAGTATTCAAGACATAGATTAGAAGTTAGACATTTATAAATATATAAATATATATATATATATATATTTTGAATTTTATGTTTACGAAAATAATTAATTAATTAATATAGATACTTTGAAAATTATCAAATTAGAAATCACATAAAAATAAAATGATTAAGTTTTGCAAATTGTATCTATCTTTATGATTTTGTCTGTTAAATTTTATTTCCAATCATGATACATAAACATAAAATAAAAAATGTATTTTAGATAGGTATTACTATTGTGAAATTATTCTTTCTTTAACATTTTTTGTAATGTAATGTTTTTAAATTTTTATTCGTGAATATATAGGCTTAAAATGAAGCAAAGTCGGTATCCTGTACTATTTTTAACTCAAGGGGTCACTTCTCGATACCCTCCATTAGCTGATCCTAGATGTCATACTATACAAAATGCTGTTCATCATTCCACTTGTCATGGCTTTTTGGTAAATTATAAACTACATTTACTGCTTTCATCATATATTTATTTGTTTTTAATCATTCGAAATTGTAATTTTATAGTGTAGGAATTTAAGTTTTATCAATTGTACACTCATCTAAAATTAAAAATAAAAAAAAATTATACTATTTAAATTTTAACTCAAAATTATTTATTAATTAATTTTATCCTAATAGTAAATTGTTCAATCAATTGTATCAATTTTTATAAATTAATTTTATCATATATTATATTTTCAGGGAGTTAATGTTCACTCAGAAGATTTGTTACGCGATCACACTCAAATAGACCTCGTGAAAAATGCTGGGCTTGCACTTTTTTGTTGGGGTGAAGATAATAACTCCAAAGAAGTTTTGAAAAAATTTAAAGAACTTGGTGTAAATGCTGTAATATATGATAAGTAATAATAATAATATATTGTACATATTTAAGTATAACCAAACTGTATAATGATAGTAACAGTATTAAATATAATTTATTATTAAAGCTAAAAGTAATGTTATAACCATAAAATGATTAATTTAGTACACCAATTTTATAATTCATTTTTAATTTTTAATCACAAATGATATTTTCTTTTTTTGTCATTTCAGAATTTTATTTTTTGTTTTGTTTCATACTTAAGTAACTTTTAGAGTTAACACAATTATTCAATTAGTTCTTAATTATACTATATATTATTTAAGCCAATGTTTTTATAGCTTTTTCATAATTTCAGTTAAAGAAAATATTTAACTTTATATTGTTGTTCACACCCATTTATATATTTTTAACTATTTTTTCATAGATTGGACAGAAATTATTTAATGAATAAAAAAGAATCATGTATCACAAAAAGACCTGGGATTTACTTTGTTGCTAGAAATCATTGTGAACAGGATAAAATACTTTTATCAAAAGAAGAATCACTTAATGAAGATACACACATACGTGAAAACAACGATAATGTGAGTATTTGTATTTTATTCCAAATTGATACTAATTTTTTAACTAACTAAAAAATAAAAAGGCAAATTTTTAAACAAAGTGAAAATGCATTAAAAAAAAAAAAAAAATCTAAATATGAAAATATATTTTTACTGTATAAATAATGTTTATTTATAGAAAGAGGATGATAAAAGATATTTCATGGATGTTGATAAAGCAATTTTTCAAAATAAATGTTCTTCGACAGACTCATTGTGGAGTGAGGAGTGTACATCAGTAAATACTTCTAAGTCACCATCAAGAAAACAAAAGTAATACATTTATTTAAATTAAAATTAAAGTTTATTTTTATTTATAATATTCATTATTTTTTACATAGATATGTCAATGAAACTTTGGAAACTGATGTGCAACAAAATATTTCAAAAAAATCAAAATAATTTTAACAAGAAAAAATTACAATTTTATTAATTTTAATCCAGATTTTAATTAATTTCTTGAATTATGGTTTGCATTTTATACTTGATGAGTAAAAATTTGACTATTATTTATGGACTTTTTTTATTTAATTTCTTCCAATTTGTTATTATACATGCAAATACTTATAAATACTTTATACTCCTATAATTGTATTAGAAAAATCATTCTGAGTTGGTTTCTTTTTTTTTTAGTAGTATTAATATTATAAAACAATGTGCTAAAAAACATTTTCTAGATTTTGAGAAATGAAATCTGTATAAAAATTCTTAAACTTTTTTTATAACTAAAGAACAGTAGAATAACCATAATGTCATACATTTTTTTCAAAATGAAATGGTTTTCACTTATCTAGTTTTTTATATTTTATAATAACTACAGTACAGATTTGCAGGCATTTACTATTTTTTCTATTTCTTCAAAATGAAACTATGTACAAATTTGATTTATACTACTTGGGATAAAATGCACAACAATTTTTTTTCTTTTTTTGTAGTTTTTTTTTTTGTATATTTGTGTTTTTTTTAGATATTTTGGGTATTTTTTTTACTTCCAAGTTAAATTTTTCAAAATGTGTTCTAAATAAACAAATTATATGATTGTTATGTATATATGATTGATATGTTAATATTTATTTTTATATTATTTAATAAGTTCCAAATATTTTTCAATTATTTCTTGACAACCTTTCTCCATGTGTTCAGTTTATCTTATACTATATGGTATATAGTAGATTAATTTATATTGAAAAAACAATAAACACAAAAATATGCTCTTGCTCTAAAAATTATACATTTAGAATTACAGTTTTGTTTTTGCTGTAATACCCAATAGTAATTTGTAAATTAAAATGACGAACATTTTAATTTTTTTTTTTCCCTCAAAACCCATTTTTAATGTTTTTTTTTTTTAACTTTTTTGGAAGATTTATACAGCTTAATTTTTTATTTTAAGTATTTTCTTTAGTTTTTTTTATTTAAAATCCCTACTCTAATAATTACTAATAAACAATATTTCATTTAAGAATTTGTTCAAAAAAAATAATTATCAGTAAAAATATTAAAACGACCTTCTATACTGTATTTGCTTACAATAGTTGATTTTGTTTAGTTTTCTAAAACTAATAGTAAAAAGTAATTGAATAAAAATATTAATTGTAACTATATTTAATAAATAAATAACTACAAATATTTTTTTGCATATTAAATTATTGAAAATTAAAATTTTTAAATTGTAAAGATTGGAAAATAATATAGGAAACTTACCTTTGCTTGGAATTCATTTTTTTTTAATATTATTATTGTTATTTAAAACCACTTTAAATTGTTTGTACAGTTATATATTAATATGTTTTGTTTCAATATTTTTAAATCGTCATTAGATTTTAAATATGTATTGATATTTTAATTATTATCTTTTTTTAAATATTTTTAATATATAAAGAAGATTTGTGAGGTATATGTTTTATTATCCAAGTATATTTTATATTATATGAAAGAAAATATATCAAACTGATGTAATTGTATGTATATATTTTAAGCAGTGTACCTACTTCACTCTATACATCATGTATTTATAACAAATATTACAACACAACACAACACAACTGTTACAGAAAGTAAATATTAAATATTTAGTAAATTTTACTCACTGCTTATGTGATTCTGTGTAAACAGACTGCACAATAAAAACAAATTAGATAAAGTATGTATTACAAAAAAAAAAAAAAATGTAACTGTATAAAATCGGACTGAATTATTTGGTCACTGACGACAACAAAATATTGGACCCGATATTTAGCAAACTTCAATATAAACACATTGTCATATTGTCGTTTGTATAAACATTTACATTTTTCTATTGTCACCATTCACCCTACTCTTATCGTAAGTACATTATGCCATTTATTTGATATGATCACCGCACTCTTACAACATTCTTTGAAGTTTTCAAAACGGGTGTGTCCAAGACCATCAGCAAGGGTCGAATAATGTCATGGGCGTAACTAATTTTTTATGGAGTGGGAGGAGACAAACTTTATGTTGATACCTATACCGTACACTTTAAGAATATATATATACGTTATCTGAACCATCATCATCATGTATTGTGATAGAAAATGCCATTGAACAAATAGGTATATTTTGATAAATCTATTCATTTTTTTTTTATAGTTAATAGTTATAATTTATTAGTAACTACATAATTTATTGATGAAATGATTCTTACAAATCTGAAATGTCTTTTCCATACAATTGTCTAATTAATTTACAAAATACTAAGGGGGTATTGTCCCGTTAAATTATTAGAATGGGGGGCAGTTTCCTCTTAAAGAAAAATAAAAAAATAATCGTAAAATATTTCACTAATGGTGTTAATAATTTGGTGCAATATTCATCTCCTATTCAACTTAATACTTTATTACGCGATTCATTTAACTTATTGCAGTGGTACACCATATCATATCGGCAGTGATATGTTTTACTATCTTTAATGTTATTATTTAATCGGGTAAATTAAACGTTTCATGTTCTTTGTTTATCATGTCATCATTATTCATTACTAATCCTTACATGTTGAGTTCTGAAAAAATATTTTATTGATAGTATGTCGTCTATAAATATTAAATATTAAAATATATAGGTAACCATAATTTTTTAAATATTTTGAAGTCGGAAAATTTTATCATTTGTCCCACCCTTTCAAAAATTAAAATGACGCCCCTGATTCAGCAGGTAAATCATCGTTTAAAACGCAAAAATACTATAACCATATACACTTTCCGAAACCGGTAAAACCGGTAATTTTTGGACTAGACATTATTTAATAGGAGCGGGATGTTTATAAGTCAGTAACGTTTTTACAAGTATAAGTTACTTCCTACAACGTTTTAACGAAGCGTAATTTATTTATGGCTTGTACTTATACTTTGTATTAAAATCAAGTACAACAGTATTCATTTTTTTTTATTGTTGACCAGATGTTATTAAATACATTTACGAAATTTCTATTTCAGTCGTAATCGTATAATACGTATAATGAGACCAACTTCATCAATTTATTACTATCTTGTAAAAAGTTCAAATGAATTATTCTGAATAGCTACCTAAATTGCTAAATGGTTACCCTTAAATTACTATTTATAAGTAAAATAATATACCTACCATACATACATATTATGTATAACTAGTCCAGTATAATTTGCTACATCATATATTGATATCGTACATTCAACGTTTAAATAATATAATAATTTTGGAAACCCATTTGGATTGGTCGTGAAATTCGAAGGTTGATATTAATTATTACACTATGTAAAATATTATGTACTATGCATATTATTTTCAAATTAGTTTAATTTTTTTGGAACTAGGACTAGGTATATTCTTACTAAAAATGTACGTAAAAAGATCCTCAACTGGGGGAGCGTTAAACCACCCCCCTCTTGCGCATAGGCCTACTTCTAAAAGGTATGCCCGGGAAACAGTGGAACGAATGATTTTAGAAAATAAGATTGGTCATGTACCGCGTTCATAGAATACTGTTCGGAACAGGTGGTCGATCAGTCTACCGACGTAACCACCAGTATCGGCTCGAAGTAAATATTCTGGAGAGACTTAAATTATTCAATATAAACTCCATACAACAACGAACAAGAAAACACTTTTATTGAAGAATCAATTATACATTTTACTGAATTTAATATTTAGTTAATTTTTTTTACTTAATTTAATTGTACATTTTTTTATGAACTAATTCAGTTCTGCAACCTTTTTTATCTGCGAATTCGCAGATGACGTTGCAACAGTGCGGACATTTTTGTCAGTTTCAATCACTTCTATAATACGCGGATTATTCCCCCGACCCCCTCCGTCAAACAAGCCAAACTATTAAATGTTACGATTGAACCTGTCGGACGTCAGTTTCCTTGAATCGGTGACCGTCGTTGAAATTATACTAAAATAGTGTTTCCATCGAAATTACTATTTATAGGTTTTATATTTTGTGGCCTTATATTTATAATAATAAATATAGGGAAACGCTATAACATATTTTCAATAAAAATAAAAATATTTCTATACATTTTTAAATAGTAATTATTTACAAGTAGCTGTTGTTTTTTTTCAGGGGAGACGCAGTCTCAAAGTCTCCCCTGACGAGCCACCCCTGGTAACCGCCTACGAGTGTGTGTACCGGGGTCGAAGTCCGAGGGCGTGCACGCAGCGTCGGTTACCCGTCTGTCGGTCGGTCATTCAGTCAGGGGCGAATTTTAGTGGGGGACGAAAGGTTGATCGCCCCTCTGAATCCGTATTAAGGAATTGATTATATTTGAGATACACATTTCAAATGTTATTTAATGTGGATCATTTTATAACGAAATCAAATTACGCGTGGCTGTGAATATTGAAATGGGATTTTTGTCGGGTTCATACTTAGTGAAAAATCAAATAAAACACAAGCGTAACTTTCAAAACACAGACAGGTGTTAAAAAAGAACTACACAAAATTCAATGGATCTAAATGGAACTAAATGGATCCGGCATTAGATTAAAAAAAAAAAAAAAAAAACCACAAATATTAAGGATTCGCCAGATTTAAATATTACAAACAATTTTACTTGTAAATTTTGAGCCAGAATTAAAGAAAAAATTTAGTTGGCCTCCCCCTCCCCAAGAAGTAAGTTTAAATACGCCCCTGCATTCAGTACGAAATAAATGAAACGCGCACCATCAAACCGACTAAATAGCTGAAACGGCGGCGGCGGCGGCGGTGGCGGTGGTGGTCGACGTCGTCGTAGTCCAGTAGCGCGCGTTCGTGCGTGGTTGGTGTGCAGCTATTTCGGGAAGTTCACGATCCATGCGATCCTTTTTACTAGAGATATATTTCAGTTCGTCGAGCACGTACCGTCCAATACGTTGCGCGAGGCCCTTGTCCCCGCGAAACGTGCGCGATACATACGCACGAGGTGAAATATTTTTCGGTTTTATATTACCTGTTGTATTTAATTTTTGTTTTCGATCTTTTCGTCACCACCAGACAGGTTACGTTCATGTTATTGTAAAATATTATATATATATACACGTATCTGCGCACTGATTACTGTACTACTCCACTACGATGTCGACGAGCTACCCCGCCGTACACGTACCCATCGTGAAAACCAGGAGAGCAGATAACGCGGGGTTCTTCTTCGACAGCCGTCCGTCTTCCATCTACGGGTGAGTGGGCGTATCGGGGCACAGCAAAAACATAAAAAATCAGTAAAAACGTTTCCTAAATGTAATACGGACTGTGACGATTCGCGTCGGACGAGTTTTTCGACAAAACATTTTTTTTTTTTTTTTCGAAATACTAAACATACGCACTTCGGATGAACACTAAGCCGCCAGGATCCAGCCTGCTATGACGGGAGGAATGGAACAATGAAATACTATCAATTACCTACCAGCAGTGGCGTAAATAGGAGGGGCCTATTGGGCTATAGCCCCCCTCCAAAAATGTTTTGAAAAACTTAAAAATTATTTTAAACGTATATTATATTTTAATGGCGCTTTGTGTTTATTTTGAATTCGCGTCAAACGTAAAATCGTTTTGTGACATTCTGTAAATGAAATGTAGATTAGTACCTACTGTGTTTTGTTAGTAATTCTTGGATAGCAGTGGTAATTTAACTCTGTGCATAGTAGCCCTCCCGAAAATATTTTCTGTATACGCCACTGCCTATCAGTATATATTTTTAGGAAAATACGAGTATACACGTGTTATATATGATGCGATTTATGTCTCGTATACCGTCAATCAAGTATATCGTGTAATTACTTTTGTTAAGCTTTCTATTTTTACTTAGCTTGAGACTGTACGACGAATACAATTATTATGGAAACTATAAAATAAAGTTTAATAAGGTAAAATTCCTATTTAATTATTTTACATTTAATCATTCGGCCTTTGGTCTGTTTGTTGAAAGACTTTAGTTTGTTTAACCTTTTTTTGGAATATTAAGATCTTAAAAATTATACACGTCCTCAGCTTTATGTTATCAATATACCGTGTAGTAATATTTAACGATGTGAAATCGTCAATGGATAATTTGTATTCATACATTCTGGGATATTATTGAAATATTGTTATTAATTGTTAGTTTTCACAAAAACATAAACGTGTACATGAAAAAAAAAAAAAAAGCTGTTCAAATTATAATACAGAATTTGGAAAGTATGACCGACCAGCAATTAAAATATAAATTTTACATTTTTTGTATAATATAATTGCCTTTTTTTAACAAATAAAGTGTTTTAATTGTAACATAATATTTTAAACGTAACAACAAAGAATAATAATATGTATACATAAATAATTTTTTTACTTAGTACAGTTAAATTGCAAAATTAAAACTATTAGAAAGTGAAGATCAGTAATTACTATCACCAACGGTCAACAACAGGTTTACGGATTACGTTAGAGGTTTACGATATCTGGTAGAAGCGTAATGTATGGTGTTTATAATATTTGGTAAAACACATATCTATAACTGATATATATATTAATTAAAAAAAAAAAAAAATCGAAGAGTAAAATCTTTAAAAAGTATACTATTTGTAAATAAATAGCAAATTGTATTAAAATTATTTATTTATCTGAAAACTATTGAAATATTTGAAAACGAAGTATAGAAAAAACATATTTTAAATTATATTTAAACGTAAATTATTAAATTTAACAATAAATTACAGGTAAATAGTGCATAATAATGTAAAGTAATAAAACCAATTACATATTTTGCGTTATTTTTGTAAGTTTAGAGAGGATAAAAGAAATTAAGTTTATACTCAAAATTTTATTAACAAATCTTATTTATTATGTAAATGTATACTTTTATTGAAGCATAACATTTTTATTTTAAAAACTAATGCATTTAATATACAAGACTTTAATTAAATGAACCTTATTTCATTTTACATATTTTTACATACTTTTTTCATTTTTATAAATAACTGGGTATTTATATAGAGATTTGAGATAGTTTTTTTTTTCGGAAATTAAATAAATTTAAAGACCGATAATTTAGATAATTTATTGAAATAAGTGAATTCTGTATTAACGTATAATAATTTTTTATTTCAACTACCTATTACATAACTTCAAAACTTAAATATTATATTCAAAACCCGTTAAAAATCTATAAAAAGAAAAAAATAACCTAGTAAAGTTGTAAAGGTGAAACTAAAAATGTATTTGAACAAATTCAGCCAAAAGTAATAAAATAAATTAGAAACATTCATACATGCCTTTCTATTAATATATTATTTTCTCAAAACTTATTTTCAAACATTGTCGATGTTAAAATTTCTTTTTTTGTAATTGTTAAATTTGAACACTTATTTGGCCTATAGTTTAAATAAATGTATTAAATGATCAAATTAGTGTTCATGTATTTTTTAAAACTTAAATACATTGTTTGTCATTACAACTTTAGTGTAACATTAATAATTTTTAAACAATTTGTATAAAACAGTAATATTTTCATTTTTTATTCAATAGTACATGTTTTTATTCGATTATAATAATTAATAATATAATATTAATAATAGATAATTATAACAATAATATATATGTATATAGTCAAACTTGGTTAACTCGAAGTTGAAAGGACCGGAAAAAATTTCGAGTTATTCAAATCAAAAATTTTTAAAACAGTACAAAATATATTTATTCCTATGTAGTTATTTATTATAAATAATGTAATGTAATAAAAAATATTTACTATGTTTTTATATATGAATTATGAATACATATGTATTTTAAAAACGTATGTATGTATAAACAAAAATAAGGTTAAACAATTTGTCTATTTTGATTACCACCACTGCACCATTCACCTTTAAAAGCTAAGGTTTTTTCTGGAGTACACCTGTAAAATAAGCCTGTTCCGTCTGCATTGAAAATGTCTTTAGGGTTCTTGCTTTTTGTAATTTTTTTTCAATCCATTTTCAACTTCCCGCATAGCTGCCGCTTTTCCTCGTAAGTTAGAATTTTTAGTACGCGTTTTGATGACGATATTACTTACGATAACATTTAAAATGAACACTGAAGTCATGCATTGTCATGTAGTCAACCAGTTATAGAAGTCAATCAGTGATTCTCATCTTTTTCTCGTTCATTTAAACTTTAGCCACTAGAATAAAATACTGCGTCATTCTAACATCAAAATAATAAATAATCTTAACTGTATATTTTAGTATAATCCTTGAAATAATAAAAAAAAAAAATAAAAAAAATACAGTACACAGAAAAATAATAAGTACACCTACAATTTATTTGAGATAAAATTTTAATAAGATAATCGATTGCTACGATTTCGCAAATCAAAATACTGCACATATTTATCGGATCTAAATAATATAAAAATACAAACTTAAAGATATGTCATTTACATGACAACTGTGGCAATAATATGATTTTATTAAAATTAACTATTTTTTTATTTTTTCCTTTTCCCTTGGAGATTTTGTGTCACCCCTATACTGCGTCCATGTCACCCTAGTTGAGAACCACTGAGTTAGATAAACCACTTATCGGTAATAATAACACTAATGAGTAATGACCTTATTTTCGATATTAAAATATATATATAAAGGTTCATTGAGGGAAATATAACAATTTTATAATATTAACAAAACTTAAAACTTCGAGTTATCAACAAAAATATTCGAGTTAAATAAAATTTTATCATTGTTTAAATAGGAAATTCTAGAGACCGGAGAAAAAGTTCGAGGTATCGACGATTTCGAAGTAAAGAAGTTCGAGATAACCAAGTTCGACTGTATATATATAATAATTATAATTAATAATTATTATTATAATTATCAATGTCATCATTATCGAAAAATGTTTATAACATATTTGATAGAATTGACAAAAAATAAAATGTGTTAGGATTAAAATTTTAAAATTTATTTTAGAAACTAGTCATTAGAAATTGATTCATTAGGTATTCTTTACATTTTATTTCAATGAAGTACCTAGTTATATAATATAATAATTAATAGTGCATAAAGTATTTGTATATTATGAATGCTTTTTTTCCTCGTAAAATGTATTAAAATTTAATGGGCTGTAAAAAAATATACTTTCCTTGGTTAATGCCTATACATCAATGTGTATAACTCACTTCACAAATGAGTATTAATGGAACTGATGGAAAGTATTTTTATAGCTACAAGAAACATGTTCCAAACCTCTATTCGTAAAATAGATAGAATGTTTTTTTTTGCAATCTTTTAAAACTTTAAAAAAAAATGAGTTGGTTATAACTATATATAGGTACTTAACAAAACATATCACATACTTCATTTTAATTCTAGTCCAGAAGGAAAAAATTTGGTAAAAAGTAAAAAACAAACATATTGTCAAACAATGTCTTCTTGGCTCAGAAATGTTAATATTTTTTGTTATTCAAACATAACATAACGTCGCTTACATAATATATTTCGATGACCTATTTTAAAAATATGATAATCTGCGACGATAGAACTTTAGTTTTTTTTTTCATTTATATAAAATAGCCTCAGATGATGTTTTTATTAATCATAATGTTAATTAAAAATAAAACGATATTGATCTTCATTAGATAATATTGTTGTAACAAAATAACAAATACGATTTGGTTCAATTTGTTCTATAAAGACGTTTGGCAAACGGTCTACCAAGAAGTATTTTTAATTTTCAACAAATTCAGCGTACAAATAAAACCAATATCGTTTTTTTTTTTTTTATTATACTCTATAAGTGTCATTTTTTTCTTTTGGTCAGTATTCATACAATTGCATTTGAAATACATTATTACATGAACGAAAAACGAGATGATCACCACATGACGTACGCACAGTATGCTTTTAAAATCCCATAAAACTCTCAGGGGCTCGGCTTCATTGTTTCTAAATATTTTTTTAAATATTTTTGTTTAATGTTTACCATTAAAGTGGCAGCAAAATTTTAAAATTAAATAACAATGACATTTTTGATAAAATATTATGTTTTTTGTACAAATGAACATCAAGGATTCAGGGATTAAAATCTACATTATTTAACTTCAATGAACGTTCCTATTTTAATATGTCTATAACCCTTACGACGAGGTTGATTCGTTATGCAAAATTTAATTTTAGTTTTGACGATGTAAAAAGTTTGAGTTATTTATTCTAATATAAAAATAGTGTGCTAGATTTAAATAGAAACAATAGAGCTATCCAAAATCAATCACTGTGTAATAAATAAAAAAAAAAAACTAAAAAAAACAGTTGTCTTTAAAAATTATAAGCTTAAAATCATTGAGGCAGGGCCTGGCGGCTTTAGTTTAACTGACATGTGTCAAGCTATCTTGTCATGGTATGTTTTGAATTCTATTTATAGAATATAAGTATACATCTGGGTTATTTAATGTGTTAATCTTCAAATCTACGATGTACTACTTCAATTCAAATTTGTATACTATAAATAAACATTAACAATTTTAATTATGTTATTAAGTATTGTAGTTACAAAGTTAAATCCTATTTATATTTCATGGATATCTTTGAGTGAAATGTGTGCTTTTATTTCAAGCTTTTAACCAATTTAGTAACTTTTAGCCGTTGAGAAATTAAACATTCAAAAGGTCGTAGGCGGTCAAACGCAATAAATATGTATAACATAATAATTTCATTCATTAAACTAATGCAGTTTGTCTAGGTTATTGATCGGTAGTTATGCAATCGCGATAACTGTTTCCCAATTAGCTTTAAAACGTATCAAGCATTATTTTGATTATGCAATCGAGTCGTGTTAACTCGAAGTTGAAGGGGGATAAATATTCACTTCGAGATATGTATTATTCGAGATATCTAACTAATTTATAGGGGAAGAATTATCTAGAGGAATAAAACACAATTCGAGTTTTCAAGTTTTTCGAGTTATCGAGGTTCGAGTTATTACGACTCGACTGTATTATATATTATAATGATAAACTCCAAATAGCAATGTATTTCAAAAGTTATTTTCTAATTGCTTGTATTTAGAAATATTACTGTTGATATTATGACAATATTTTTAAGTATTATAATATTATTTTTAAGTAATTATTTTTATTAAATATTTTTAAAGTATTTTTAAGTATTTTATAAATGTACAAATATATTTTATATTTTAATTTTATTCCTATAGAAAAAAACAAAATTAAAAAAATTGTTATGAAATTAAATTTTTTGTAATATGAATAAAAATTATTTAATAATATTTAATATTATTTTTTATTTAATGTTTAACAATTTATTAATGTAAGTTTAATAACAATGGTTTGTTAAATTATTTTCAGTTATAAATTTTGAGATAAATTAAGCCTCGTGTCATAATAGCAAAAAATAGGAACTTTTGTTTTAGATATTATGTCATGGCCATAAAATAATAAAATATAGATACATAATAACGATATTTATCAGTTATCTCCAATTTCATAAATTACAATGAATTGTTATATTAGATTATTTCACAATTCTATGGTAGGTATTGTGGAATTATGCACTTGAAAATAATATTTTACGATTGTTTGAAAACTATCTACTGTGATGACATCATTATTTTATTATTTTCCTCCATATTGGTGAGATATCGTAACTTAAAAATAAGTATAACCATTATCTGGCATTTTAGTTAACGTATAATTGAATGGTTTCGCCTATGTCAGATTTCTCGACTTTTCAGGGACACCGAAAAACGAAGTTGAACCTAATACTATTAACTACAATGTTTTTTGATGTGGCATGGACCCTTCTTCCAGTCATGATTAAAAAAAATGATTCCCTGTATTATAAACTAACCGTCTCTATATGACATGGGCTTTTTTGCAACTGAAAATGATGTAATTTTTGTATATAAATGCAATTCTCCTAGCCTCTAGTAGCTTATTTTTGTATTAAAAACCATAGGAACATATTCTACACATAAAAGGTATATGAAATTTTTACATAAAATACGAGTTTTGACAAAAACTGACATAGGCCCTTATTAGGTGGAACCATTCAATTATGATATCGGCATGTAAAATAAATAATAATTGAAAATTGTTGTAATATTAACTAAGGTTCTTGTTAAATTAATTAGAAATGTAATACAAATTGACAACAAATTCTAATGACGAAGGTTAGGTAACTAGTAACCTAGATTGTCTAAAATTGTCAAAAGAAGTGACCCTAAGTAAATTTTAATTATAAAAGAAAAATATTTTCGTTCTCTGACTTACGTTATTACTTGTTTTATTCTTTTACATAATATAAGTATATATAGTATAAAAATAAAATAGTTGTTTTTAAATTTTCTATTAAAATTTATTAGGAAACATTTTTTTTTTCTAGATTTTACCAATTTTCATACTTTGATATTTAAAAATTAATATAATAAATTATAATAATTTATTAAATTTATTTTAGCTCATCAAATCCTCTTACTGGATTTAAAACCTACGGATTTTATAAACCCATAGACAGATTAATGAGATATGATGGAATCACTACTGGAGTACCTAGGTACCACCCGGGCTTATCCATTTTTAAGGTAAGTGAAGTGTTATACATATTAGTAAATTAACAATTCATGTTTTATTTTAGGATATATAAGTATTTACTGTATGTTAGTAGTATATTATACTTATGAACAATCAAGTTGTACCTGATACAAATTTATTAGTATTAAACACTTTACATTTTTATAGAAATTGTTTAAATAATTTTAAAAATAATATTATAATAGTGAAATTTATATAAATTTGAACTTAAATCAATTTACATCGTGAATATTTTCTAATTTGTTTGTAAATTAATTCAGTGTAATCGGTATGGTTATTAGTCATTTATTTTAGATATCTTATATAACCGAAAACGATTATAAATAAATCTCAGTTTATCTAATAATTCTTTATCCCAATTTTGTTACAATACTTATAATCAGGGCTCGGGACTTATAGCGCATAAAATTATTAAAATAAGTGCTTATAAACATCATTATAAGCACTAAAATAAGCATTAAAAAAAATTTAAAATTAAGCAAAAATATTTATTAAAAAAAAAAAAACTATATAATTTTAAATAAAAAATCAAACAAAATAAAAATAAATCTGTACTTTCATAACTTTAAGGATTTTATGGATTTTCTGAGGGATTTTTCTGAAAAATAAAATATTAACTGTTCTCTCTGTTCTTGATAATTCTGACGTCCTATTTTCAGCGTTGGAATATCTTTGTTAACCCTATAATAATGCTTTGGACGGCGACAAACTACGTAACAACGTAGATAAGATAAGAATTATTTTTAATTTTAATTCTATCGAAAATGACTTTTCAGGAAAAAACTAACTCCTTAGCTTTAACTTAACTCCCGAGCCCTCCTTATAATGAAGGAATGTTTAGGTGATTTTATTTTGTAAAATTATTTTTTTAAATATAATACAATTTTTTACTAGTCCATACTACTTGTTTAATAAAATAATAAGGAGTCTAAAATCTTTAGTAGATGTAGTAAAATATATTAATGTGAATCATATTTTTGAATATTTTTTAAACAAAAATGTTTCCTTTTGAATTTTGATCTTCCTTCGAGTAGTGTTATATTTTTCGGTCATGCATGCAGACGTTGACTGTTATATTTTTATATTTTACTCTAAAATATGTCTATAAATAAAAATAGGACTGATGACAAATGTTTTATTTATTAATTCATTTGAAAAATGTTATTTATAATGATGATTGTCTATACTCTATTACAAGTTTTTTACATTTATTTGATTTGTTAAATAATATTCTGTAACAATATTTCATATAGTTATATTCGGTGTATTTTTTGTTTTGTTTAGAGTACAAATAATTTTGAATACCTAATAAAATTTTAACAATAAATATTTCAGTATTTGGTATTGAGATAAAAGAAAGTTAAAATTAAAAATTAATATATAATATTTATTATTTATATAAATAAAAGTATCTTAATATGTGATAATATCTAGAATAATATAATATGAATCACTAAATACAGAAAGAGCACACGTCCAAGTTTTAAAATTTTTAGGATACAAAAAACTATACATCTGAAAAAAAATAAACTTCAAATTGTATTTTATGAAATAATACATTATAAAACATGGTATACATGTTTTTACCTTAGGCATGCGCAGGGGATATGCAGGTTATGCATACCCTAAACATAGAGCCTTCTTTCTAAAATTACAAAAAATAAATAAAAATTATGACATATTTGGTCTTATGTATATTATGTGATTTTGTATTGCATTATGATTTTTATTATATTTTTATATTCGGTCTCGGACAGTTTAATTTATTTTTGAAACACAAATCATATGCTATAATAACGATTTAATGTGTTAATGAAATTAAGAAGTACAAAATTTTAAGGGAGATTAGATAGCTATCAACTACAGAACAAGAAATGGCTATAAATTAAAATCCCGAAAACAACTATTGGTGATATTAAGAATTCAACTGTACGCAGAATCGTTTTATGATTAATTTTGATTATTTATTAAATTTAATTTGTTTTTAATTTAAGTATATAATTACGTTTTTATTTATTTACCCTATTTAAATGTATTACTCAAACCATTTCAAGTGTTAAATATTTATTTTTTTTTCGTAATTTATTTTAAATTTTAATTATGAAGACAGTTATAACGATTAAGAAATGACTATTGAGTCACTTTTTTCGGAAAAAAAAATTAAAAACATTTAAATTAAATAGTTATTAAGACCTGCATTTCGAATGCTTAAATTAACTTTCAGTTTTAGGGGGGGGAGAAGCAAGTGGCAGCCTTTTGCATACCCTGAAAAAGAGGTCTGCGCACGCCTATGGTTTTTACGATAATTTAAAGAAATTTTATTATACTTTAAAGGATTTTAAGGTCTTTCACTTGTGCCGTTTTTTGCATAAAATTACCATACATTTTCAGAAAATAACGTTTTCTTATAAATAAATAGAAATATATAGATAACATGTATAGGACTAGTACCTTTTTCAGAAATTAACGAAATTTAAAATTATTTTTAACGGTTAATAAATTTTACGCCTGTTCTGCTTAATACTATGTATTTATTAATATTCAGTTCGATTATGTAATAAAGTGATTTTCGTAAAATACTGGACATGTGCCCTTTTTGCATTTAGCAATACATATATAATATGCATATTATATGAGTAGTTAATTTTTATAGACGGAAATATAATTTGTCATAAATTAATATTTGAATGAAATAAAGACATTTTTTTTATTTACATATATAAGTCTCATAATTGATTTTATAATTTTCATTTAACTACCCGAAAAGATACATACAGACTCTTTTTCAAACTCTAAGGATACTTCATTCTATATATTTTTGTTTAACGTAAGTCATTTCGTATACTATTCAGAAAAATATTGAAGATCTATAATTTAATAATATATGTTGGTACAATATGTATGTATAAAATTTGTAAAATTAAAATATTTTCATTGTGTTATATTGCTATTCAAATTGTTGATAATATACATCGTATAAGTTAAAGGTACGGTTTTAATACATAAGATTTTATGTATTAGAAGTTTGGATGTATGTTAAAATAATCTAAAATTGCATTTTAAATTATTACCTACTGTTGAAAATATATGATACAATATTATGATCTTTTAAGAAACTAACTAACGAATTCTCATACTAACATAAAACTAGACAACTATAGTCTAGTATTAATATCTTTGGCTACGTGAATTGATTTACTAATTTTTTGTTCGATTTATAAAAATGTATACATTATAACGCAAACGTATTAGATTGCTAAGCTAAGTAGTTTTAAAATTTTAAAGAATATTAGAATTACACATCATTCCAGCTTTTTATAAATTCTAAATTTAGAGTATGAATGATGACGATAATGTAATGTAGCCGTCAGTATGATGAATTCCAAGAACCATACACCGTAAATCATCTTGATTACATAGGTAGGTACTTATTGTGTAGTATGTCTATACTTTAGCTTATAAAAATATACAGCGTTTATTATTGTGTAGATTCAAACGAAATAAAACGTATAATCATCTCGTGATTGTATTATTTTTATTTTATATTCATACTTTATTATTACAATTTACACACGTATAATATAATTCCAAATAAAAAATACACTTATGGTATGTAAGGAAATCATTCAAATTGCATTGGGCAAAAGTTAAAATGTTATTCATCGTGTTAGGTACCTTATATTTTTATAGTTTATAATATACCCATCAATAATTATTCAATAAATCTTTACGTATCCATATCTTTGCTACAGTTTACGGTTCTATCTTCAATATTAAAATATTAGATCATATTAGTGTTTTCAAAAATAAATCATGGGAGATTACATGATAAAACTGATGTGTCGACTGTGTAGACAACCATTTGAATATAATAATGATGGTATTGGTAGAAGAAAGAAAACTAATGTTTTGCATACATTACATTCCTAGGTATTATTGTAGAACAACGTAAATATGGTGTAATTATGACTCATGGCTGATGGTCATTAGTTGACGAAATAAATATATAATCAAAATATTCCCTAAAATGAAAAAATAAATAAATGCCTATGTTAAACAGACCTATTGGTTTTCATCAAAGACTCATTTTCTTTTTTATGTTTGCCATAAATAACTTAATAACGACCGTATAATGAGTCATTAAATTATTAATGCACGTTAAAATGTTATATTATGGACATATTATACATATATATATTTATTTATACATAAATAACTATTGTAAAATCTATCACCCTTATTACAGTTGTAAGTACTTGATTTTAATTTCCATCGTAAATAATGAGTATACAATTATTTTTGGAATTATTCATGATCAATTTTAACTGAATATTTATCGACAGGATCTTTTACCCGTTTTGTTGTCTTACTGGACTATAAGCGCAAATAATCCACGTTATAGTGTTTTGGAACGCATTTTGTTTAGGTATTTGATTATCATATTTGACAGTGGGCGATACTAAAATACTTTTCGTACAGTCGATGGCCGATTTCTCATTAGGTAAACAACTGGTAGGTTGCAAATTAGATCGATGCTCGAAGCGGAGAAGCCCGATTGACTAGTAATGGTTGTATATTATTTTTAGTTTTTTAATAACAACTTGACTGCTACGCTAAAACTATGAGACGTGTTATTATCGCCGCATTGGATCTATTAACTCAGTATTAACAGTATGTTTTACTGCCAGGCTTTGTAGAGTATTCAAACCCTACGGTTCAAATTGATTTCTATGTTTCGTAGGATTCTGATAACCGTAGATTTTATAGTTTTATATTGAAAAGTACTTTGTCGAGTTCTCATTGGAATTTCTTTGAAACGGTTTTGAGATCTATGATACATGATAAAAAATCTATTTTAATTTTAATCAGCACGTTTTCCAAATAATTATTATTATTTACTACTAAAATCAAAATACAAGAGTTCATGAATTATGTTAATGGCAATCTCGTCAAATTCGTTGTCAATTCATGGTAGTCAACCTGACTTAAC